GCCCCTGCGCCACGGCAAGGCAGCAATCCATGAAGGGGGCAGCAATCCATGATGGTAATTTCCATGTTGGTAATTAGAATTTTTACCCCCCCCCCCCCCCCCCCGTTTAAGATAAGTTTCTCCAAGTGAACTCAAACCTGTCTCCATTGTGTTTGAACACACAGGCTTCTTTACCTGACTAGAAACAGCAATCTTTTGCACCCTCTCAGTGATGCCATTTTAATTGATACACTGGATAAAAGTAAATACAGACAGCTATATAGCTTTATATATGTTTGATGGTCTTCAGTCTCCAGTAGCACGAACTCCTCCACACTACTGTGTACAAGCTCTTTTTTGAGAGACCAGTAGTACCTTGGAGATTTCTCAGACGTCTGCCAACTGCATAGGCATCCTTCTGTCTCGAGAAACTATGGTAACGTGCTCTGTATGGAGGACTTGGAACAGCGTCTAGTCTTGATGCTGTACATGAAGCTGGAGTGTCCTCTCCAGGGCACGAAGCCTGGGTAAAATAATATGGAGGATAGGCTGTTACCCAACCAGCAAACCCCCCTCTCTCCACGTCACTGAAATAGTCCAATGGAAAGGCAAGAGCCAATACAACTGGTTTCAGCGATGTCGCAGGAGTTGACAGAATGACACAAACTGCCTCTGGGACTCTGACGCCGAATTTTGCCTTGAGGTTAACTCCTGAAGCCTTTTCCATTAGTGGATATAGCCACAAGGCAGTGGAGGTTTGGATATACAGTACTGTAGTTATCAGTTTAGTAGAACCTGCCAGAATTTGCAGGTTGTAACCATAGACTTCAAGAGCCCAGGGTAACTTCAAAAAGAGATGAGATGGCAGAACGGGATTTTTGAGAACACTAATATACCACTTATTACTAGGACCAATTAAAATGTCACAAAGAAGCCTGTCCATTTTTAAATTCTTCAAAACTCTCCTTTAGATGAATGGAAAATGTTACAGTGGAAAGATGAGTGAAAGAGGAGGAAAAAAGTGTTTCTGATAATTTTTTTCAAAAACTGACACACTAAAAAAAATCTTAGGAGAGGAATACTGGAGGTGCAATGCAGATTCAAGTTTCCTCCCTATTCTGCCATGTTTATAATGGTAGTTTTGCTTCTCCCAAACACAATGGAATAGGATTATGTGCCACCTGTGAAAGCTGTTTTTCATTGCTAACAGAGGAAACGGCCACATCATGTTACTTAATGCAGAGTTCTAGAATGTGACCTGAATGTATCACGTCTCAGAGAAAAATGATTTGTTCTTGTTCTTGTTAGTCCCAATCTGTTTCACAAAAACAAAAACAAATTTAACAAAATGCAGGGGGTGGGGTGGACATCCTGTTCTGATTTGTTTCAGATAATTATTCCTAGCTCCTCAAAAAATGAAATGGAGCTGCATTTGAAGGGGACTTAAACGCCATCAAGTATACAACATGCCTGCTGAAGTCCTTACTGTTACACACTAACAGATCATATTATACTAATCCTGATAAACAGCACATTTCTAAACCTAATTCAAAATTCTACAGTTAATCTTTAGTCCTTAACAAAAGGGTGGTCTAATGGTCTCCTTGATGTCACTGGAGTGCTTCCATGATCTCTCACCAAGAGTAATAATTACAGTCCAAACTCAAGGACTACCATTTGTCCAGTGCTGCCTGAATTGTTTAAGATTGAACCGTTTGAAGGACTGCCATCACTGGGGAGAGGGAACATGTGGTTCTCCAGTTGTTCAAGTGCAGCTGCCATAAACCTTCACCATTGGTTTAGGACTGATGAATGTAACAACTCCTGGCAGGCAATAAATTACCTACATTGATAGAAACCTGCCTCAGAATCTTAAATTTTGCCTGACTTCCGAGATAGTGAAGTTAGTGAGCACTGGAAAGAAGACCACTCAGGGTGGAGCTTATGTTCTAGAATTCCCTCCTCAGATACAGGTATTGGCCACATCTATGGTTCCTTCTAAGAGGGTTTTTAAACGTATGTTTTCCCTAGCTTTCAACTGAACATTTTTATGTTTATTGCTGACTGGCATAATTGTATGTTACTAGTTTCTTTTCCTTAAACTATTTTATTTAATGATTTAATTAATTTGTTTGTATTGTTTTTATCTTGTCAGCTGCTGCACCCAACTTTGTCTTGAAATGTGTGGAAGAAATGCAATGAATAACTATTTTTATCTATGCACTCTTGCTGCATAAAATAGATTTATTTTCAACATGCATTGTAATGCTTACCAATTTAAATACTCGTCTTACATGTCTTTTGTCTTGCAAATTAAGATCCTTCCAACTGATTATCTTTACACCTTTTTATGCACTGAATTTTATAGAAGAGTGAGTTTTTTGGAATATTAAGCATCTTCTCTATTCTAAGTCCAACCTATGTTAACAAGACTTTATCTCCTCTTTTAAAGAAGTCAACATTTTATTTCCCACCAACACTAAAAACATTTTAATATTGAGTTGTAAAACTGGCACTTTCATGTTTAATTAGAGTACAGTATCAGCAATAAACTTCCTGTTAGCGTCAGCCAGAATTGTGCAACCCAAACTTAATTGGAAAGTACAAGGGGGTGCTGATAAATATTGAGCCTTTCCCACAAAAAAATTGAGCTAGGAAGTTGTACATTGCAGGGTGTATTGGCCAATTTGTCTGTATTCAATGGTGCAAAAATCAACTACTTATGATTTTAACTTATCTCTGATGATCAGGTCCAAAGTGAACATGGCAGCACCTCCAGAAAAGTTCGATGTGGAAGAGCATAGGACCATAATCAGGTTCCCTTTTCTCCAAGGGAAAGGTGCAAAGCAGATCCATGATGAAATGTCACAAACTATGGGTGACAGTGGGCCTTCCTATGCAACAGTTAAACATTGTGTTGTCAATTTTAAAACTGGCCATTTCGGTGTTGAAAGTGTGAAACCCAGTGGAAGGCCGGGTCGGTGCAGAAGCAAATGACGAGTGTCTCTGTGCACGCAAATGTGAAAGCCATCCATGATATGATCATGAAGGGCTGCCGAATATCAGCCCAAAGTATTGCTATATATCTGAGAATATCATGTGAGAGAGTTGGTGCCATTATCTGCAACAACTTGGAAATGAGAAAACTGGCAGCAAAGTGGATCCCCAAACTTTGGATAACTGAACAAAAGAGGAAATGTGTTGAGTCATCAGTGGCTGTTTTGGAATATTTTGCAAGAAATGCGTCAGATTTCCTGTGAAAGTTTTTAATATATTTGTTTTATTATTATTGTAATTATGTATTATTTTAGCTTTTAATATTTTTTAATACTGTAAACTGCCTAGAATTCTTTTAAAGATAAAGGCGGCATATAAATATTTTAAACGAACAAATTTAGTTGAAACATTGAGTAATGCAAATTATACAAAACATTTTATTATGCATGATACAAAAAAGCAGCTGTGGAGAATCTCTGTTTCAAAAGTTAGAAGCATTTATACCTAAGGTATTCAGAAAGCAATTTGATTCTTTTAACAGTTATTGAACTACAGGAGGCAATAGTGGTGATACAGTACTGTATAGACATCCAAATTTATTCCAGAAGTACCAAACACAAGAGGTAGATGTTCTATAGCATATTTTATAGTATATTTCTGGAATATAGAAAGCTAAGTACGTACACTGCTTTAAATTAAGATAGCACTAGAATGTGTCATAAATTAGAAATCTTCTGTTTGAGCTTTTAAAACAATTATGGTTGTAGCACTACAAAAGGCAAATTAACCATTACAGAATGGCTTCTTAAAGATGTCCAGTCCTACTGAGAGATACTTATATCAACATTTCAAGGAAGAACATGGAAAATTATCTCAGTTCTCAAGTTGTTTTCACTGTTGTTAATGTATAGTTTGAAGAATTAAATGGAGAGGAGAGAGACAGGCTTTGGAGAGGGGGATGGAAATTTACTGAACAGTAAGTAAATAGAAAATCTACTTTTCCTATGCTATGTTTTGACAATAACATGACAGGCTTGCACAAGTTGTAAAGCTGAACACAAACATTCACATATCTAAGGACATACACACAAAATTCAGTGACATACATTTGCTGACATTCAAACAGAAGCAAGATGAAAGAGGGAACATCACTGAAATTGCCCAAGGCTATCTATCTTTCATATCCAGCCATCAGTCAATTAACACTGTTATCTCAGAAAATCAAACATGCCTGGAAAATGCCCCCATAGTGCCATCCTCATAATTAGGCAGAATTCAGAGGACTCAACTGTAGCTCAGTTACAAATAAGAGCAATACTCACCAGTGTTGAAAAAAAGCAACAATTTAAAACTTTTGAATATATACATGCATGTTAGCAATGTAGCGATCATTAACATTCTTTATTACAGACAAATTTATCAAAAATGTAGACCCCTGAGTATTTACAAAAAGTAGTCTGAAAATCTATTTGACCATGTAGCACCTTCAGATATAAATGAGAGTTCCAGCAGCATATGAAGTCCTGTTTTCTTTCCTCTTGATGTCTCCTTGTCAGAGAAGATTACAGCAAAAGACATTTTCACATGCTCCTGATGGAACACTGAAAATGTTAGAAATGCTGAGGAAAACATGTTCTGCAAGATTTGAAAAGAGGAAAAATGCATAAAATCTTAATGCTGAACTTGGATAAAGCTAAGGTGGAATACGGAAGACAGTCACACATAAGCAAAAGGTTCATACAAAAAAAGGATATCATAGCTTCAGTTTTCAAATGACAAAGTAACTTCTCTAGAGGAGGATAACGACATAAGGATGGCACACAACCCACCATAATTAATTTGTGTTTGGCTCTTGTAATGGCAACATTAAGACGTCTCCAGTCCTTCAGAAGTTCTCCAAGCTACAAGGTAATAAAATAGTTGACCATCTTAAAATGTCATTTCCCACTAAAATTACAAAGTTCTACATTTCAAGTAAAACAGTTAGGCGCTACTTGTAAAATCAGAAGTGTTAAAAAAAGAATTTCCCCCTACAAAATCCACAAACCAAAAAACCACCAGTGCACTCCTTATGTTAGGGGTTTTCATAAGAATACGCAACATATAAGAACTGCACTTTGTATTCATCCCCCAACTGCTTCTTCAGTTAGCATGTAAAGCAGCCCTGTGAGTATAGAGCACCTACAAGGGGAGGGCGAAGAACTGGGGTGGTAGTTTACACACAGTATTTTTTTAAAAGGCCAGGAAAACAACCCATGACCATAAACTGTGGTTACCCACAATGGGATTTGGTCTGGATCTCCCTCTCTCTCCTTTATTGTTTTATTTTTACAGAATAGAAGAAACTACTCCCAGTTTGAAAAAAGTAATTTGCCACACTGGATCAGGAACCTGCTATAAGAGAAACAGAAATCAACGTTCTTGTTCTATAAAATTAATTGTTCAGTTATTTGGATTCTCTGTAAGTATTTACTGGTAGCGTTCTAGTAGAAGTCTCTGTGGTCAGTTCTTTCTTACCACTTAACTGTTCTGCTTAAGCAAAGCATGACAAAGTGAGTAGCAATGTTAGGACTCAAGACTGAACTTTCAAAGGCTATAAACTGCTTGGTGACTGTGAAGTATAGTCTACTCACATTTCCATCACTGTTATTTCTTACAAAGGACACTATGATGATACTTTTGTCTCTTCCTTGGTACTTGTCAACAGTATTTACTTCCACTTTATAGATGTGTGAATTTATCATCATATCAGTGATTATCTTTAACTGATGTCTGTATGGAGATATGACCCCAATATCTGATGGCTTACAACCAGCCTAAAAAAATAGGTCACAGACACTGAATTATGGAATCTAGGTAGAAGAGTCAATTTAGAACACATTCTTATTGCAAAACAATGCAGGATATATGTACAACACAAATACAAGTGTCAGCTGTGTCAAAGGTGAAGCAAAAGCTCCTTACTTAATTTTCAAGTGTATAAGTGATTAAAATTGGTCCCTTCTTAAACAAAACACAGAGACAAATAGGTTTATTTACAAATTGTCTCAATAGCTAAATGCTGTATAATAAATTACATACTTTGTGGAAAGCATATCTAAAAGCTACCATAAGAAAAAGGGGAAGAAAAGGAGAGAAAGATAGAGATGAGCAATCAAAGGCTAGAGAAGAAACACATCTAGAAGCACCACTTAAACAGCAAGGAAGAAGAGAATGTAGATGCATGTCAGATAATTTCAGATGGAGGACCAGAACTGAAGACATGTTTAGGTAAGGGGAAAGCACAGGTAGTATCAAGACACAGACAAAGAATGGAAAACAAAAAATAAATAAGAGAGGCAAACAAGCTTAAGTAGTATTGAAAGGCAACGAACAATGGCCTCAAGTAGATACTAAAAAACAGCCTTTCACACTGTGTCCCTAGGGGCACAATATTGATTCCTTCCAGGGACATATCTGGTAGTTTGAGAGGTAACCTCCCTAAACATCCCTTTCACTTCTCTAACTGAGAAACCCACACCTCCACTATATAAACACACTGCATTTGTTGTCAAAATATAAGGATAAATCTATAAAAGTTTTACTTAGCTCACACCTTGATAATCACAGATAAGTCCCATCGGTAGCAGCTGGTTTATACTACGTAGGAGTAAGTGTAGATTTACCCCACTACACACCTCTTTTTCAAGGTGGACAACACCTTGAAAGGTGGCAATCCTTTCTTCCAAACAGAGAAGCAAAATCATTACCTTTATAAACATTGATGTCAGGAAGAATACCAGTCTGGCTTCTGTCATGTTACTGACACCTCCCTTTTCTGTCTGCTCTGGTGCTGGAACCTAAACAAAAAAGGCAAATATCGCATGCTGAAATCCCATTTTATTTGCTAATTTAGGATTAAGGATAAACCAAATTTGTTCACATTTAAAATAACTGCATGTAGATAATTTATTTCAAAAAGAACTGGTAGCCAGTGTGGTGTAGCAGATAACATCAGTGTAGGACTCAGGGGACCTGGGTTCAAATCCATCCTGGATATGGAAATTCACTGGAGTAGTGGCAATGATAAAATCATTCACTGAACATCTCATATACCTCAAAAACCCTGTTGGGTTCCCACAAGTGATTTGATGATGCATAACAACAAAAAGGACAACACCTATGTTAAAAACAGAAAGTGATCATGCTGGAATACATTTACGAACCATTCTACTTGCACGTTTCTACTGAGCAGAGTAAATTAAAAAACAGAACCTTTTTCAAGAGGGAAAAGAAAGAAGAACAATTAAAGTCTACCTTCTCCGTGTTAAGGAAACAGACAGGGTTGTTTGGATTTAGCGCTTCCTTCAGCCATATTTCTGAAGAATATTCCTGCTCCAACTTTAACTCTTTTAAATTCGGCAAGTCAATTCTACCTTTAGACACTCTTTCAGAGCCACATTCCAGTTTACCTTCATACACCAACTTGTTACTCAGGGACATAATCTTACTAAAGGATTAAAAAAACAAAGCAAAGTCAGGTCTGAACTCCCATAAAGAGCTGTTCCTATGCACCACAACTACAATTGTCCGTACCTGTTCATTCGGTACTGTACAGTGAGTTGCACGACAGCATTTTTATTTTTTTCTAACCTCTTGAATAAGCTTTCACTCATGCCAAGATCTCTGTAACAAAAAATCCAGTCAGTGGTTGCCAAAATATCTATCAATATGCTATATAAATTACCCTTGTCAGCAGTATGCCATCTTACCTTGCTTCTGCATTTTGCACAAGTGGAGGTAGCTGCTGATGGTCCCCCACCAGCACAAACCGAAGTGAATAGAAAAGTGGACCAAGACAGACTGGCTGGCTAATCTGAGAAGCCTCATCCACTATGCAGAAGTCAAACCGTTTATGAGTGAAAATTGGGTGGTTTATTCCCATGCATGTTGTTGCAATTACTGGCTGGAAAAAGACAGTGTTATTTTAATATTCAGAACACTCTGTTTTGTAAATAGGCTCTAGAATTAAGGTAGCACTGCCTAGTGGCAAATGTTTCCCAGTTATGGAACCCATGAATAGCATTATCTACAGTTAAGTGTACGAGGAACCTGGAAAAACATTTCTCTTACCTGACCACGGTACAATTCCTCCAACTGAGCTACAGTTTTAATACATTTGGATCTGCAAATTTCCTCTTCTGTAAACTTCTTTATGTCTGGATGAACCTTCTGAGCTTTACCCAGCCGCAGAAAACCTACTTTGAACCTTGCTAACTTCAGCAGAATGTTGTCCACTGCAGTGTGAGTAAAGCTTGTCAAGAGAACACTGAAGCCACAAGCATAAAGAATTCGAACCTAAAAGGTGAAGAAGGTGAGGGGAAAGCATAGAAGAACTCATCTGTATTTCCAGCTCCCCTGCTGAAACATGGTTGTCAAGTCATATACAGGGGAATCTTGCTACAGCTCTTACGAGGGAAGTTGGAGAGCTATGCAGGCTAGCCCTCCCCCTGCTATCCAAGCATTTGGAACATGTAGAAAAAACGGCCTTATATTTAGCACAATTTGCACGTAAGGATTCTTCAAACAAGGAAGAACCCTGGCCCAATCAACATATAATTATGTCCCATTGGGCATGGAGGGATGCACTGTATGTACATCAATACATCCACAGAACTTCTTTGAATACATACAATCACATGGACAGCAAGGGGGCATGTTTGTCAAGGACTCAGCAATTTGGTATCACGGCTAGTTTGCACAGTTCTCCGATATATTTCAGAAATACCTATGGTGGGCCATCTTTTGTTTTCTTTTCAAGAAACTTCTACAATTCACATTATGGAAATGAAACATGTTTACATGAACGTGTTCCTGGTATTTCATATATCTGCCTGCTAACCAAGAATTGCTCACATATTTACACAATCCTTCTTTCTCTCCCTCCACCTGGAGAAATGTTTATGATCCTAAAACAAGTGCTTAGAGTTCCTATATGGTAGAAAAAAGATCTACATGCAAATTTGAGACACCTGGATTGCTGGTAAAAAAGCTACAGTAGCCATTTTGCTTTTGGTAAACTACACTTGAACTTCAGAAACAAATATATGCGTGTGTATATGTATTACATACATACACATACGTTTATTTTATTTTATTTCCAGCAAGGTTTAGATTCTCCAATGCCAAGTCATAAAGTAAACCTATCTCTCCAGTATACTATAGAGAGTGATTTTGATCAATATTTGAAAAATGTTTGAAAACATGTCCATTCACCTTTGTTCTGGTGAAATAAGAATCTGTAAAATTTGTAAAACTCTCTAATATTCTGCACCTATAAAATAAACTATGCTTCATATATAAATTAAAGAATGTGCAACACACTTCAAAAAGGTATCAAATTTGTTTTCAAATCTTAACACTTTCCAAGCCATAACAGTATAGAAATGAAAATTTCATATCACAAACTATACAAGCTAAAGAGAGTAAGTTTTAAGGCATAGTCCAAACTTCAGTTGCTAAATAATTTTACTACAGGTATATTGACACAAAAATGTATTTCCAAGAACAGACACATACCCTGACCTGAAGAGATTAATCTTCCACATACATACATCATCTGACAATTGCCAATACAGCTTCAAATGCATGTTCTTATGCATTTATTATATAGAGTCTTACCAGAGCACATATTGTAGTGGTCTTTCCTGTTCCGGGCATACCAACAATAAGTGTGTAATCTTTTGAAAGAAGCACTTGTTTCATTGCTTGTTTCTGAGGCTTATTCAGACCTTTGAATTATGAAACAAATACCGTTTTTATTAATTTTCCATGTAATAGAAATTACAGGTTACCCACCTGTAATTGTAGTTCTTGAGTGGACCTCTGTGATTCACATCCTGGGTGATCCGCGTATGCGCGGAGTCTCATTGGAAGATTCTAGCACTTCTTTAGTAGCAATGGACATATATGGGTGATCCGCGTCTGCGCAGAGCCTCATTGGAAGATTCTAGCACTTCTGTAGTAGCAATGAACATATTAGAATATGCTCCTCCCCACCTGTATAAGTACCTTGGTGCCAAGAGTCCCTTTTCAGTTGCGTCAACCACCGCTTAATAGTAAGCAAGCAATGGCATGACAAAGGGGAGGAGAGGCGTGATGTGTGAATCACAGAGGTCCACTCAAAGAACTACAATTACAGGTGGGTAACCTGTCGTTCTTCTTCGTGGCCTCTGGGAATCACACCCTGGGTGACTAATAAGCTGTCTTACCTGGAGGAACGGTGTCATGCCAAGGTAGAGGCTAGAACAGCACGTCCAAATGCCGCATCAGACTTCTGCCGGAGGTTGTGTCTATAATGACAGATAAACGTGGACGGCTGTGCCCAAGTGGCAGAGGCACAGACGTCCGGAAGAGGTACACCGCGGAAAAAGGCTGTAAAGGCTGCCACTGCCCTGGTGGAGTGAGGGCGGACCACTCTAGGGGCTGGTAATCGAGCAAGTTGATACGCCAAATGAATGGTAAAGGCGACCCATCTAAAGATAGAATAGGAAGTCACCTGATGGCCTGTTCTAGGTCGAATGGTAGAGGCGACCCATCTAGAGATAGAATAGGAAGTCACCTGATGGCCTTTTCTAGGTCACTGATGGCTTATGAAAAGACATGTGGCTGAAATCTGCTCGACTGTCCAAGATGTTTTTTTTTATACCAAGTGGGGAGCAGGTTGAGGTATAGTCCTCTCAGTGATGTGGCCGCTTCAACACTGATGGTTGTCGAAAGGTAGGCCAACTATTAGATGGTATTATATCGAACTGGGTAAAACACCTGGTTGACTAGCTGGTGCAGTCTGTCGAGCAGAGCACTGGTTGGGGAAAATGGCAACCCGATGCATGTGCCGAGCGTGCGTTTGAACCCCACGCAATGAAGCGAGCTGTCAAGATTGCTGATGTCGACGGTCCTGGTTAGAGATCAGTGGTCAATCCGAGGGCATTGAATATGAAATGGTCTCAAGCCATTCGGGATGGGAATCCTCAGGCAATGGAATAACCGAAGGATTGCTGGAAGGAATGGACGGTTGTGGATTGGGAGGAGAGGACGTTAATTGGTCAACTCTATCATCCCATTCTCAAGATTGAGAACAGGGTTGATGAGACAGAAAAGTCTGTCATCATCTGAGGGAGATCCGACCAAAATTGACTCGGAGAGCTGTGGTTGTGGAGGGATGTCTGTAGGCTTAGACTGTTTAGCTCGTTTAGGAGGAACAGGCTCTGGAGCTGGAGCAGCTTTAGTAGGTCTCTGACATTTAGAAGTTGTTTTCGAAGTCGATGACTTCGTATGGAGGGTTTCGATTTGTGTGTCTTCGAGATCTGAGGCATTGGAGATGGAGAATCGGAATGAGCTGGTGTAGCCAATGGACGTTGTTTCATGATTCAGTAATAGCTTTTTCCACTGCTTTGGTTTGGGAAGTGGTCCTACAGGGTTGGGCCATTTGAACTGGTTGTAAGGATTGTTTCCAAAGTCCGAGTTTTAGCCTCAAGAGGCAAGATCAAAGAACTTCACGCTTAAAATTTCTGCAATGGGTACAGGAGGAAGTTTGATGTTGTTCTCCCAAACAGAAAAGGCACTTAGTGTGTCTGTCAGAAAGTGGGATCTTATTATCACAGACAACGCAGTGCTTAAACGGGCCCAAAGGGGCCATAAATAGTAGAAAATAACTGAGGAGAAACCCCGATGATTGGAGGGGGGGTGCTGCAGCCAGAGGCCAAGTGAGGAGAAAGGAAGTAATCTCTGATGATAAAGAGTTTGATCTAACAGTTAAAAGAAAAAGATTGATAACAGGAAGGAATCAATAATAAGCTCTCTTTTACTCACAGAAGCAGAAATATGAGGCTCAACGTGGCGGTTGAAAGAAACTGAAAGGGGATGCTTGGCGCCAAGGTACTTATACGGGCAGGGAGGGGCATATTCTAATGTGTTCATTGCTACCCAGGATGTGATTCACAGAGGCCATGAGGAAGAACCATACTTTCACCTTCATCTTAACTAGATGACTGCATCAGGGATTAGTTTTGCAAGTCAGCAAAAAATGACTAATAATGGCAAAAACATCAAGAAGAGCTGTTGGGTTATGATTCTTTATTTACCTTCAGGTAAAATTAGAAGCATTTGTTCATCCCAGAAAATTCATGTATCAAATAATGTTCTGTGACACCATGGGAATATACATTCCCTGGCCTATACACGACTCACCAAAAAAAGCACAGTTGTGCCTCTGTGTAAGTTAGAGGAGAGCGGAACAAAGACCTTCAAATCCAAACTCAGCTACTGGCTCACTGAAAGGTTTCTGGACAACTCACACTTAATCACTAGAGAGATTCCATGACTCTCAGAGACTGAACCCTTCGATCTGTACTGCATAAAATTTAACTTATTTCACAGAGTTACAGTTAGAGTAAGTTCAGATAGTGTTTCATATCCAAAGCCTCTGGAATATACCTGACAATAAAATAGGAGCAGTACTCCAATCCTGCCCTGTTTAGCAAAATATTTGTACAGCTAAAACAGTTGAACAAGCTATTATTTTTTTCTTTTTGGAGAAGCATTTTGTTGAATACATAAGATAATCAAGGTTATCATATACGATGAGCTGCATGGCGCAGTGGTTAAACTGCTATACTGCGGACAAAACTCTGCTGATGACCCAGGTTCAATCCCAGGTAGCCGGCTTGAGGTCCATTCAGCCGTCCAAGGTCAGTAAATTGAGTACCCAATTGCTGGGAGGGGGTGGATGTGCAGCTTGTCAACCAGCCAAAGAGTACTTTAAGCACTATAATTTACAAGATTTTTTAGCCGCATCATTACCAATGGTCTTTGAGTGGCGTATAAGCAGAACAATTTGCTTTACTTTCAGTCACAAAGTTCTGCAGTTGATTTTTAAGTTGAAATACATTAATTTACTGATTTAGGCTACTCTAACAACAGAAGTTGTTTCTGAACAAAATCAAACTTCTATTGTACCTTTTAGAATGTTTGCAACAGTCTCCTTTACTTCTGGTGGAAGGACGGAGCTCAAGTGTTGGACAAACTGCGGTTTCTGAAATTCTATTATTAAGTTACGAAGCCTTTCACTAAAAAGAAGAGGGAGTTAGAGTGAGAATAGAGAATATACAGTACTTCTAAGAATAACATTAGGCATGGAAGTAAAATCAATATAAACTGACCTGGCAGGAGCATTTTCCATCAGTTTAGAGAGATTTCCTAAGGCACCGTTTATGCCAAAAGTGCCTTCTTCGTGATCTAATCTAAATACAGTGTCTTTGGAAATGCATGACAAATTCCTGGAAATCATATATAGAAGCAATTGCTAGTTACAGTTCATGGCCCTGAGAGATTCAAATATCGCATTCATCATGCAGAAGACATACACCAAAGTCTGAGAAGCCTAACAGTTGTCTGTCACTACACTTCGACAATCCCTGCTTCTTACCTGTCTACATGCAACAAGGAGAGAGCTCATCCTAGCACCTCTGCATATACATCTATAAAAGACACAACTGATGCATATATTCATATACCTTAACAAAAACAACAACATAAGCTTGCACTATTTGTAGAACAGCTCTAAATACCATGACTGTTGAACTGGGAAACAAAACTTCAGCAAATCTAACAGGCAAGGAAATGTATTCCCAAAAGACTGATCAATGTCATTATAAACTGGAAGCTGGCAACCTCTTTAGGTCTAGGGGACCGAACTCTTTCTCTTGGCCTTTGCTAAGACCTGCAGAAATTATTTTAACTCAAAGGAGGAGTTAAGGTTAGCTTTTGTTTCCTCTTCGAAATCTAAGCAATTTGAAGGAATTCTTGGGGGATGCCTGCAGGCCACATGGTTGCTCGCTCTACTGTAAACTGATCAATGACACATTTCAAGCTGATAACCCACAATGTTTGTGTAAAAGCAAGATCATATTTAATCCTTAATTATTCAAGTTTTGCTCTCTCTTTACAGCTGTCTTACCTGTACGCCTTTCATCTCTGGCTTCTCACTCACTCCCCTTTTAAATTTTCTAAATTATCTTTTTATAATCCTGTGTTTGAAAAGCAATGCACGCTAACGCTGCAATAATACCACCAAAATTTGTATTAGAAGAGATGGGTAAGTAAAGGTTTCTCTTCGGTAGGGAAGGGCTCGCAGAACACTCTCTCAGGAGAAAATTTATATTAGACTTTCAAACCCCATGAAGGATTGAGAATGTTCCCACTGTATTACCTATCCAATAAGCAGGATATTTTAGTTCTGTTGATGTCCTGAACATAGCCAGTAGACAGGCCAAGTAAAGTGCTATCTTCACCACTCACAACGATTCTGTCTCCTTTCATCAGATTTGTTACAGGCATGGGATCATTTTTACGCTGAAACCAATGTAAATACTGCCCGTCCATCATCTCCTGTACATACTCCAGCCTTAACATATTTCCAACGCAATCTCCGTGTTTCTCTCTACAAAAATTAAGAACAATGTAGTCTTGAATATCTTGTAGTATACAGCTGATATGATTAAATAGGTAGGGCATGGATGGGCCACATGCTCCCCCCACAAGGTCTCTACAGCACATCTGGGACCCCTGGCTCCCATAACCTCCGGAAGTCTTCAATGTATTTGGGAAAGAAAAAAAATATTTTTGCTCAAGAAGTCACACTGTGCTGGCAGGGGGGAATTCTACCATGTTTCAAGGAACACCCAGCAGCACACACACACCCCAAAAATGTTTTAATTTTTAGAAAAAGATGGCCAGTAGAGGTCACAAAGAATTTTTTTTTCAGTTTAGCACTTTGTTTTAGTTACAATCCATTTCCGAGTTAACAAAAATGCTCTATCAACCTTTACATTACCTAAATGCCACATCAAACCGTCTAAACAATTATAATTTTAAACTATGCAAATTTGCCCATGGCCATCCCCCTCACCTTTAATCCCACCATTGTGGACTGCCAGCAAACCTAAAAAATAGCTCTCAGCCCCACTGAGATCACCCACCCCTGCCTTAGGGAGAAGTCCAAAGTGTTCCATTTACCTTTTATTCAGTGCTAAATATAGAGGGGGAAATGTTATAAAATAGTATCAATACCTAAAATGAAGTTTCTAAACAACTAAATGACTGGTAATGGTAATTTGTTCAACCTTTCTGCAACAGGCATCATCCATATGTTTCTATGCTCCTTCTTCCCATCTTTGCACTGTGACTCTAGGGTCAGCATCAGACACCAGAGACGAAAATACTCCAAGTGAGAGGATTTTAGATGTTGGGTCTCTTTTTCAACAGCAGCAATTACATCAGGAAAAGCGGAGATATTTTTCTGCTCCTCTACAGCCCTAAAACACAACTCATTGTTAGTTGCACCATAATACTTGCTATTGTGATGGCAGATTACCTGCAATAAATCTTTTGCTAAAAAATGAAAAAAAGACTTTAAAAATGAGTATATTGACTCTTAGGGGACGTAGTGGCACTGTAAGTTAAACTGCAGAAGCCTCTGTGCTGCAAGGTTGGAAGACCAGCAGTCATAAGATCTAATCCACTTGACAGAGTGAGCGCCCATCGCTTGTCCCAGCTCCTGCCAACCTAGCAGTTCAAAAGCATGCAAATGCAAGTAGATAAACAGGAGCCACCACAGTCAGAAGGTAACAGCATTCCGTGTCTAGTCGCGCTGGCCACCTGACCACGGAAACTGTCTTCGGACAAATGCTGGCTCTACAGCTTGGAAACGGGGATGAGCACCGTTCCCCCTAGAGTCAGATAAGACTGGACTAAATGTCAAGGGGAACCTTTACCTTTGAGAAACCGTTTGGAAGACTTACATAGATTGATCCGAGTCTTCCCATCCCTGAAATTTTAGTTCTACCAGTACTTTCTGCCCCCTCTTCTACATCCCCCCCCCCAAGTGATTCTTTTTGCCTCAGGATGTTATCATTTTGGTACGCTCTATGTCAGAATAACAAATATATTTAGCATATTCTACATACTTGATCTACGTTTTTGTAGCTGGAAAAACAGTTACAACACACATAAACATTAACCTTATATTGAAGGTAGAATACTAAAGTGTATTATTATGCATATTATGGAAGGCAACCAAGTTTTGGATTGTTTCTGTTAATGCACCAAAGGACAAAAATGTGAAATTGCAGACAGAGTATTGGAATGATGGGGAGGAATGAATAAACTATACCATACTCTCTGTCTGATATTTGCTGTCATGTTTTCATACCATCTACCAAAGTCCTCCGAGGGACAGAGTGCTTTGTCACATAGAGATTTAACATTAATGATACCATGGGTGTCAGTCATTTTGAACAAAAGTCTACTTGAAAACAGTAATTTATAAACAGAGTTCTCAAAAAGGGAGTGTACCTGCTATAAAGCATACAGTTCTGCTTCTGGGAGCAATAGCTACAAATCTGACTGTCGCTAATCAATGGAGGCAAAGGCGCAAGCTGTGTCTGCTCTTTTGCAGTGTCAGATTTACATAGGCTGTGAAGTAAATAAAAGGCCAACTGATTTCTTAGTTTAATTAGTTCTGCAGGAGAGAAAAACAAAAGCCATATTCAGATTTTTTCCAACTTTGAAGAAAAAGGCAGACAACAAAACTAGCTTATGTTGCTTAATTAAAAACATGGATTAATTACAGTGAATGAATCAAGGCAACAAAAACAGGAGACAAAGTGAAATTAATGAATTAACTTTCAGTACATTTCTAGCCTATAACATCACTGAACATACTTTAAAAAATGGGATACTCTTGCTAAGCATAAAAATGTGTTTCTGAAATCACAGTTCTCAATGGCTAGTCCTGTTACTTAGCATAGTAGGTTATGCTAGAGTAGACCCACTGGATCAGTGGGAATTGGGGAGTCAACTCCTCTGTATGTTCCACTGATCCAAATGGACTTATTTTAGCTGTAAGTGAACTAGAACTTACACAGTAAAGTAAGTTGCAACTAGAATAGCCCCACATTTGAATCAACTGAACTTGCAGAGGAGTTGATTCACCAAATCTTCACTGATTCAATGTGCCTAATCTAGTATGTCTTATATATTAAACAAAAGGATTTCAGATGTTATATACTACTGTCTGTGTAAGCTTCTCAGAGTGTATTTCTGCCTAAAAAGGGGAGGGTATAAATGCTTCAAATAAATAATTGTTAAAAAATAGGCCTAAGCTAACCACCCTATCATCTTTCTTGCTATTTACCTCCCTTTCCAAACAACGTAGGAAGAGAGGGTGGCAGAAAGATCACTGCACAAGAGACGGGACTTACATGTCTTAGCTCAAAGGTCATCATGTACCTAAGTACACAGAAGAACATAATTTCCTGATAAAGTGTATTAAATCTGTATGCTCACTAATTCAATTGAGATTTGCAATTTCTTATCATTTCTGAAACTATGGTCCTTAGTACATTCAAAAAAGATATTCCTGGAACTGGAGAAAGGGATTTTGTGCAAAATAAAAACAAGTCTTAATCCCCTTTCTGTCTCAGAGCTAGAATGAAGGAGACCTCTTCCTTTGGATGCTCAGAAAGCACAGAGAGAAGCTGACAGGCCCTTGTCATCCCCTTAAAGTTTGGAGATGGGGTGAAGAATACTCGTGCTTGCTGGGAATTCTGAGCCCTTAAGAGTCTGTCCAGTGAACATATGCCCCAGTTTCCTTTTACATTTGGAGAGTTTTCTCTCCCTGGGAAGCCTATAGAAACTGAAGTTTATTTCTTGCTGGTAATACTGAATCCTAGCACTTTGATAAAGAAAACGGAAGCCAAGTTCATATGCAAGCATCTTGATCAGCACCAATGGACAGTTTATTACCAAGAAACAAGGACAGTTTGTTATCAGAGCAAACTAGATTCTGAACAGCAGTGAGGATTTTGAAAAAACTCTCAAGGAAATGCATAATAAAATATGAACTATATGAATCAAGCATTTCTATGAATGAATTTAGCACTTTTTATGAATGATTTTATGAATGAATGGGACGTGGTGGTGCTGTGGGCTAAACCGCAGAAGCCTGTGCTGCAGGGTCAGACCACCAAGCAGTCGTAAGATCGAATCCACGTGACGGAGTGAGCGCCCGTCGCTTGTCCCAGCTCCCGCCAACCTAGTGGTTCGAAAGCATGCAAATGCAAGTAGATAAATAGGGACCACCTCGGTGGGAAGGTAACAGCGTTCCGTGTCTAAGTCGCACTGGCCATGTGACCACGGAAGATTGTCTTCGGACAAAACGCTGGCTCTATGGCTTGGAAATGGGGATGAGCACCGCCCCCTAGAGTCGAACACGACTGGACAAAAATTGTCAAGGGGAACCTTTACCTTTACCTTTATGAATGATTATCCAGGATTCCCAGCTGATAGTTATTTATTACTAAAGGAAATGTATATATTATAAATGTGTGCAGCTTTGAAATAATCTTTTAGGCATCCCTGTGGCTGTATATTTTTGAATTAATGTGGTTTGAATTTCAATTGAAGTGCTTTGGATATAAATATTTACATTGTATTCAGTGGTTCTCAAATTGGATTCCCCAGATGTTTTTGGACTGCAATTCCCAGAAGCCTTCACCACTTACTGTGCTGGCCAGGATTTATGGGGCTGCAGTCCAAGAACATCTGGGGAGCCAAGTTTAAGAGCCACTATATAAATGACAAATATTTTAAAACATGCATGTATAAAAGCAGACAAGTAAACTGCTAGTAGGTGTTCGTGTTTAGTAAGAAAATACAAGTTTTGTTTATATTATTAGGCTTTTAGCGCACCATGTTTCTCTTATTTTTTGGGTACCATTCTTTGAAATTTGGGCTGGAGGAGGAACGGGGACCATCTCTACCACTTTCAGTGTGGGACCAAGAGGAAAAATGGACCTCATTCTGCTTGCCTTAAGCTCTCTGAACACCTGATACAGCCAGTGAAATTGTCAGTCCCTTAAAAATGGTCATTTCTCCACTCTAGCTAGTGCTGCAGCTGTGTCTCCTGCTATGAAAAAAACAAAACTTACTTTAACTGCTCATGTTAATCACCAGCTTGGATTATTGCAAAACTGTTGGGGTGTTTTTCCACACTTCTAATGGGTTCAAAATACGATGATAAAGTGACCAAAGCTAGAATCCTACTGCTTTTTACAGCACATAGAAAGAAAATCAAGAAAGTCACTGAAGCTAGATGACAAGGCTGATCATGTACCAGTTTATGTGGCTGGGACCTCATAATTTAGCTGTTGTAGCTTCTTTGAGTAGTAAAAAGCAACAGGATCCTGGCCCAAACAGTTAACAGCTCATATTCATTGACCACAATGAACAAATATTTCACAGCTGTCTGTTTTCAGTCGCCAATCAGAGCAATAGATTGACCTACCAAACACTGAATGACCTAAAATCATGGTATCTGAAGGACTGCCTCCACATAAACTTATGTCCTTATAGACTGCCCTTAGAGGCCCTGAGCCAAGTCCCCTCACCTCCAAAATCAGACAAATAATTGTTTGGCATATATTATTTTTTTGCTGCTAAGCCATGTCTCTTTTGTTCAGATAAAAGGAAAATTATTGTTTTTCTACTGCCATCCAATTTTCACTTGTTTCATACACTTTACTATTACTGTAATTTGTATTTTTGAAACCTGATATTCGTTAACTTGAAGACTAGATACCTGAAAAGTGAGCAAAAATATGGCAAACACATTTCTATCGAAATATTTCTGAATGGACAAGTTACAGTACCTCTCCGATCCATACGATTTCCAGGAACAGGAAACATATTGCCAGTTTTAAGATAAAGGAGGAATCCAGCTTCAGGGTCTGCCCTCCTTCCTTGGCACAACAGTGAGTACAACACTACCTGAAATGATACATAAGAACTACCGTTTCCCCAAAAATAAGACCTAAACAGAAAATAAGCCCATGTATAATTTTTCAGGATGCTTGTAATATAAGCCCTACCCTCAAAATAAGCCCCATTTAAGTGAAACCCCGCCCCCCCACCATTGTGCAGCAACCAGATGACATGACTGTATTTGAATATAGATTGTTGTACATGAAAAAAACTAAAACATCCCCTGAAAATAAGCCCTAATGTGTTTTTTGGAGTAAAATTAATATAAAACCCTGTCTTATTTTGGGGGCAACACAGTATTAAAACAGGAGCTTTAAGTATAAAAGCAAGCAAGTACTGTAAATGTGCATTTCACTTCAGTAGGAAATGCTTTAAAATTTGCAATGTCTTCTATATGTGATCACATGAAGTATACCAGTAGCAAGTAATCACAACAGTAAGGCTGCAGCATTACAGAGGACAAAGCTATGGTACTAGGAGCGGTGAGCCACATCAGCAGCACACTTGCATAGGAGCTTCTGCTCATTCAAGCCATTCAGGAAAATGAAGACGCACAGGAATTCACTCCTCCCCATTGTAAAGTCCAATATAACACGTTATGCTCCACACACACCCAAAAGTATTTTAGTTTCAGCAACAGGAAAACACCCTCCAGCTTCTTTTGGGCACACAGAAAATACCTTGTCCCTCGTGGTTGTTAACAACATCCAAGAAGTACAGAACCTCGAGCAAAGCCTTCCTTGAGGATTTTAAGAATCAACAGATCATGTGGGGAAATGTGCTCTCAAGGACAATCAGAAACCTCACATTTAAATAATTTAACTGGGACCCTGAACCAGGACCAATAACAAAGCAGCAATTAATGCAGATGTTAGCCTCCAAATGTACTGTATGTTCCTACTAATATAACCTGTGACCAATCACAAAGCTGCATTCTGTCACCTGAAATGTCGGTATCACCTTCAAAGGCTGCTCCACATAAAGGACATTAGCAGAGCACTAATTTGAAGTTGCCAGTTATAAATGATGATAACTCTTTTCTAGGGCTTGAAAATTTTTAGAATGTCTCACCAGTTACTCCAAAATTTCACCAGTCAGCATAACCAGATTACAGCGCTTTACTGGGATTGGGAATCACTGATATCTACCCTCAGACTTGGATTGCTTTATTACCTGAGTGCCTGTGAGGTCACGAAGCTTGTATTTTAAATGCAAAAATAAAATTGAAAGCAAAAGTGCCTGGCCTCTTAAGGAACCACAGTTCCCTCCCACCCCAGGATGTGTCGTCCTTCGGTTGAAATGGGGAGCAGGGAATCTCCATATTCTCCAGCATGGGACTACTCTACCTTCTCCTGCAGAGCTATATCTCTATGTACTGCTCAAACTCTCTTCTTGCAAGAACAGGGCAGTTTTGCTTTTGCAATGGGAGCAGGGAGAGGAGGACTGCAGGATTAGAGAGAGAGAGAGAGAGAGACAGGTGGAAAGGAAGGAGGCAGGGAGAGAGGGAGCTGTGTCTCGTCAAGCAGCATTTTTCACTCATCACAGGCATTTTTCAAGCCCTGCTCTTCTCTCTGTCTCACTAACAGACAAGGCTACTAAAACCTCTCCAAATCACAGAGACAGTTTAGGAATTCAGAAGCATCCTGTTCAAGATATAAACGTTCCCCTTAAACAGGAAATGATTCAGGACAGAGATCTTCTCATCTGGTCTATAGACTTAGTTTCCACCATTAGCTCTATCTGGTCCAGATAGGACTTAAATTTATTCCTCCTCATTCAATTCTCCAATGATTTCATGCACTAATTTGGGAAAGCTACACATGCAGTGCTTGCTGAAGATTTCTTCAACAGCATCACAACCGTGGACTTCAAACAGGATCCAAAAAGTAAGCATCTACTCCTAAATGCCAGGAGCTGCCTCAGTTCCGGGTAACGGGAGAGGATCCATCATGCCAACTACAGAAGACTTTCACTTTGAAGATGGCAAAAAACTGTCTTTGGAACAGATTAGCACAGCTGGTCTCCCATGTACCCAAGTCAAAACTCTCAGGTTTCCTTTTGCATTAAAATACTATAATTCCACATATATTTGTATTTATACCTGACTTCGGTGCTCTATTGAATTAGATTCCTTGCCACTTTTAAGTTCCAGTGGCACGATCTTGTACTGAGTTTGAGATCTGCGATGAATTGTTACACCCACTGTAACATCAATTTTGCCTTTTATACCAAACCTGGGACACCAGATATTCTCCTCAACATCCAGGATTTCTGTAACTTTGACAGTGCATAAGGAGTCATCTTTATCTCCTGGTCTATTAGAAAACAAATGAAAAATGTTAACTTATCATTCACCTCTTTTTTTAAAAAGGTATATTTTTCTAAATAAACATTTGACAAACGGGCAAAACCTATTTAATTATTTAAATGCCTATTACTATATTTCTTAAACTGAAGGATGAACCATTTACTACCTTTTTCAAAACTGCTTTTGAACAATTTTTTTTCATCCTTAAGGTGAGAAAAATTATTTCATCCCCTAACAGAATAAACTAAATGAAATACTATGGCCAACATTTTAGGATGTCACCCCTTTAATAGTAGATTCAAACTATGGAATGTGTAGCAACAAATCTGGAGTTAATCTATTTCAGCTGACACATGGGTATGTCTTGTATAGAAGAATGGCAAGGGACTGAAGACATGTATCCACACATAGCCTAATGTGGCTGACAGCTTACTGTACCCAAGTCAAGGGGAAAAAATGACTCCCAATATTAAAAACAGAAAATATCATGCTGTTGTTAATGCAGGCCAATATAGACTCTCTGTGCTTATACTGCTGTGCTTATGAATACATCAGCTTCCCCCAACAGGACCACAGGCTAATGATTTCTCCCCATTCTCTATTTATGAATAAGAGCAACTGCAGCAATGAGGATGATGAGTTGATTCAAGTTGACACTCCCAGGGTTTTTAGTACTCAGCAATGGTTTGCCAGTCCATCCCTTTGATGGCACTCTGGAACCGTGCAGCTTAACTAAGGCCAAATAGGTAGCAAGGCCTGCAACCCCATCAGATACACATCTTTTGGATCATCTCAACTGGGAGGCACACTAGGAATTTGAATTCTTAGCCCTTGGTTCTGCAGCTATGTGCTCCAACCCCCTGTGCCACACACCTCTATGTCTGTATAAAAAACACTTTATTACTAAACAAACAGTTGCTTATTAAGAAGTTAGAATTAGCACGTTCTCTAAAGTCAGGAAATTACACAGAAGCTATCACAAGGTTACGATACAGTGGTGCCTCACTTAACGGGCGCCCCGTTTAACGACGAATCCGCATAGTGATGAAGATTTTGCGATCGCTTTTGCGATCGCATTGCAATGTTCCCTATGGGGAAAAATCGCTTTGCGATTTTTCACCATACGCCCCATTTCCCCCCAGCTGACCGGCGGGGGCTTGGGAAGGACCGCGAGGGAGCCCTCCCCCACAGTCCTCGCAAAGCCCCCACCAGCATTTTCCCCCAGCTGACCGGCGGGAGCTTGAGAAGGACCACGGGGGAACATCGCAATGCGATTGCTTTTGCAATCGCAAAATCCGCATCAGTAAAAATGCCGGCTGAGGCTTTGCGAGGACCGTGGGGGAGCCCTCCCCTGTGGTCCTCTCAAAGGCCCCATTTTCGCACAGCTGATCAGCGGTTCCAAAATGGCCGCCTGCTGTGTTGCCTCGCTTTAGAGGCACCGAAAATGGCCACCCCTATGGAGGATTTTCGCATAAGGTGAGTTTTTAAGCCCATAGGAACGCATTAAACACGTTTTAATGCATTCCTATGGGCTTTTTTCTTTCGCATAGCGACGAATCCGGATAGCGACGATTTATCCGGAACGGATTATCGTTGCTATGCAGGGCACCACTGTACTTTACTAGCAAGTATCTAGAATTTAGAGGGACGTAGTGGCATTGTGGGTTAAACCGCAGAAGCTTCTGTGGTGCAAGGTCAGAAGATCAGCAGTCAAAAGATTGAATCCATGCAACGGAGTGAGCTTCTGTTGCTTGTCCCAGCTCCTGACAAACTAGCAGTTCGAAAACATGCAAACGCAAGTACAGTGGACCCTCGATTTACGGAATTAATCCGTATTGGAACTGTGGCCGCAGGTCGAAAATTCCGTAGGTTGAGGGTCCATTTCCTATAGGAATACACTGAAAACCATTTAATCCGTTCCAGCCAAAGAAAAAAAAATCCTGGGCTTCCAAAGCTGCACCCAATGCCCTCTGCCTTCTGTCCCCGCTGACCTCTGCCTCCCTACTACATCAATAAACCCGTAATGAAACACATTGTTCCTATCTACTTAACAGAGACTTACAATTTTAGCTTCATGTTAGGCTGGGTAGCTTGATCAGGTTTGTACATGAAGTTTTCTGCCCATTTACCAAAAGATGGGAAGTATTCCTGTATCTCTTGCATTATATCGTTTTGTTTTAGGTTTAATTGGTACCTTCAGAAATGAAAGAAAGAAATGTATATTAAATTCTGTACAGTAAATAAAAGAGAAAAAGTGGCAGTGGGGACATCTGTTCTGTTAGTCCATCGTTTAGTAACACTGTTGCAGTGGTTTCTGAATACAGTTGTTCTTATTTGAAGGCATTTGCCAAAACCTAGTACCTTAATTATTTTTAATGCTGGCCATTCCACCAAATCAAATCCCTTGAAAATATCTAATGAACTTATATCTGCATTGACCTTTTGTTTTGGCTTTACATTTATTACTTTTAAAACAGAACAGATGTCTCTAGGCTGAGGAACTAGACATCCCCTTTCCCCTGTAATGTTTATGTTAGCTATAGAATTCTTAGAAAATGATATTATACAAGATAAAGAGTTTAGGTATCAGTATTAAGGATAGAGTAAAGATTATTTGCTGGTGACAATAGAAAATATGTTAGAAACTGATGAAGCTTAAACTACATTTAAAAGAATTTGAGAGAGATCACAGAGTTGCAGATAAACTGGCATAAATCTGAAATCATGGTCTTTCATCATAATAAAGAAAATGAAAAATTCAAAAAGAAATTAGTGTTAATATTTGTAAAACTATTAAACATTAGGGTATAAATATTCCCAGCAAACTCAAAAAAGATTAAAAGAGAAATTTAAAATACTGAAACAGGTGATTATTCAAAAGCAGGTTGATTTAAGGAAAATTGGGACTCTCATATTTTGGTAGAATTACAGCATGTAAAATGAAGATACTACCTAAGACAAATTTTTATTTAGTAAATATTGTCTTACAAGATAAGAAAAATAGAGTAAAAAAACAGAAAATGTCTTCTTTAACAATTTGGAATATAGGAAATTATTTATTCTGCCAGTTTCTCCATGATACCTATTGACAAAACTGGAAAAATTCCAAGAAAATCTTAAAATACCAATTTAGAAGTTATTAAGAAGACAAGTTCTTAGAATAAAAGACTGGTTTAAAAAATGAAAAATAAGGAACAAATAAAAGAGCTAATTTAGGAAGATATATCTTGGTATAATGTCATTCAATTAGGTCAGTGGACAAAGAAATGGATAAAAAGAAACAGGGAACATATAAAATAGAAAGGAATTATATTACAGAAGAAAAATGTTAAGAGATAAGAGGGTACAGAAGAGGGCCGTAAAAATTAGTTATTGGAAGTAGAAGAGGAGGACTTATTGAAAACAATATGGGAATTTGACTTGGGAGAAGAAAAAAGTTGTAACACTTGGAAAAATATAGAGAACATTAGAATATTGAGACCCACGTCAATAACAATAGAAGAGAATTTGTTTGTTAGTGTGGAGATAGCACAGTGAAACTCCAGTGAAACTTAATCAAATAGATGGTAATTATTCTAAGATGTGCCAGAGAGTATGCCAGAAAATAGGCACTTATTTTCATATGTGGTGGAAAAGGGAGCCTATATACCAATTTTGGCAATCAGTTTTTAAAGAAATAAATGAAATTACCAATTTAGATTTAGATGTATGTCCATAAATAGCACTTTTATTAATATGTGAAAAGGAGGTGGATAATTGGATAACCAGAGAATCAGTTTCCATGTTGTTAACAGCAGCAATAATGATTATTTCAAGGAACTGGAAAACAGCTTATAATTTTCTGTTAAGCGATTGGTATAGAGACGTATGGAATATAACAATTAGTGATGAATTTATATGTAATATAAAAATTAAGAGAGGGATAACTGTCAGATACATTTGCAGATATATGGGGAGAATTTATCAACTTTGTATTAATAAAGGAGAAAGGGGAATGAGTCTATACAATTTTGGAAGGATACTAGGGCCCCCACAAGGGTGATGATATAACTGGTTATTCTCAAATGATCATGGTGGTGGGGAGCATTGTATATGTAATGTTCTTTCTTTTGGTTCTTTTTTAATGTTTTAATGTTTATTAATTGTTTCATTTTTGTTAGTGTTTATTTTGTAAAAAAGTTAAGTGGCAGTGGGAAAATATCTATCTTATTTGCTTGTTATTTAGACAAAAATACATGGTTATTTTTAGATATTTACAATTTCATAAGTATAATTACAAAGAACTATCCTTTACCGCTACTACAAGATGAACACCATTATACAAAGATAAATGGGTGAACACTGAAGACCTAGCTTACACTTGAAAACATCTGTATCTTCTAAAACAGCTATAGTAGATTCAGTCCTTTTTTACACTTAACATATTTCCAATTCCCCCCAAAGAATGCTCACATCATCAGGCAATCACAGCAAGAATTCTTGCCCCCACTGTGTAAACTGTCTACATTAAAATGTAAACCTAACAAAAATTCAGTTCTTGATAGAACCGCAGTGTTCATTTCCCACAGAGTCATTCTGTTATAGCTAGCACTTACAGCTCTTTTAGATACTTTGGTCCATGAACAATTGAGAAGGCAATTTCTTGTAGCTTTTCTTGTGTAAAATTTGTTCCTGCTTTTTGGAAAATTTCATGCAGAATTGTACCTATCAGCATTGAACGTGATCCAGGTCCACATGTCTGTAAAACACAATAATCACTCTCAAATGAATTTTTTAAAAAATGTGTAGGCACTACTTATGAATCAAGATGTGTGTTGATATAACTGTCCGAAGACAGTTTCTGTTGTCACGTGCCCAGTGTGACTAGGGAACGCTGTTTTACCTTCCCACCGAGGGGCGGGGGAGTAGATATTTCCAAATATCTACTCGCATTTGCATGCTTTCGAACTGCTAGGTTGGCGGGGAGCTGGGACAAAGCGATGGGAGCTCACTCCATCACATGGATTCAATCTTACGACTGCTTGGTCTTCTGACCCTGCAGCACAGAGGCTTCAACTCCAGTACTTTTATCTGCTTTATTGGTGATGAAATAACAATGGAATAGCTCATACCTGTCCATAAAATAGCTTTTGAGTCAATTGTCCAATTATTTTTGGTTAATTGGAAAAGAGGGGGATACATATTAAAGAATTGTAATTCCTAAACCCTTCCTCCAATTTGGATGTGGATATCCTCAAATTAAAGCTGAGAGAGACTGCACTTTAAGGCCATATTGATTATTTAACTGTAACTTAAAATTATTTTGGTAAACAGCCAAAATAACAAAACTTGTGTCAGGATCCAAATATTTCGGGACTTAACTGTATGTCCCTTAAAATAGGTCCCTACATACTGTTCCAGTTGAAGACTTTGAAAATGCAGAATACTGAAGTATACTGACTCTGCGAAAGTGCCACAGATCATGATCTGACCTAAAACCAACAAAAAGTCTCTTAGACTCCTTGGTAGATGAAGCTGATAAAACTCAGTCCCTGTCTCCACCACCTGTTTAGCTGTCATAAGAATGACTGTAGGTGAACTCAAAAAATAGCAAATATTAATAACCAGAAGATTTGAAATCTATCAATATAACATTAATAATCCAAGAAGTATCTATAAAGTCAGATATACAAAGTACATTAAGAAAGACCCTGTTCAAGTACATTAAGAAAGACCCTGGAAGTACTTTTAACCAAACTGGATGGTGTATTTTTAAAGTGCCAATTAGTCAATATCCATAACACAAATTTTCCAAATATCTACATATCAAAAAATTTAATATCAACATTTTCCTCCACTTACCTTGAACTTTTCACTCAGTATAGCTCTCCTCATACATTTAATGCTATTTGATACTGTAGTGCCAGAAAGCAGCATATCTGGATACAGAATTAAATATCCTGAATCTGCGTCTATTATCCAGACACCAGAACTGCACTGTCCTTCTAAATGAATGATATCTCCAGGTTGTACTGGAATAGAAACCCTGTTTAAAAAAGGGTGAATTATAAAGCTGACATTTTTAAAAATCAAAGTAGAATTATGTTATTTCTGTACATATGCAGGTAATGTCTACAAATAAAAGGAAAGTAAGGCAGCCGAGTTTCCACTGAAATAGCCATGTTAGTCTTTCTCAGCATTTGGTAGTAAATGGAAAGGGAAAACTAGACAAAAATGAAAGCAGCACAGAGTGGCCTGGTTGCCAGATGGTGCAGGGTATAAATGTAATAATAATAATAATAATAAGAATAATAAGAATAATAAGAATAATAAGAATAATAAGAATAATAAGAATAATAAGAATAATAAGAATAATAAGAATAATAAGAATAATAAGAATAATAAGAATAATAATAATAATAATAATAATACAGTATCACTTTGAAGACTAACAATTTTATTTTGCATGAACTTTCATGAATCAAAGTCCACTACCTCAGACTTTAGAGTAAAAACACATGGCCAATACATTTATATGTATCCTCATGACTAGGTGAGAAGATACAGATAATAGACGAAGTGACACTGGCTGAAATCTTGTTGCTCAGCTCAGTAAGTAGCACCAGAATAACCCCACTGAATCAGTCAGGATTTGATGAGTCAGCTACTCTGTACATTTCAGTGATTCAGATACATCTATTCTATTTGTGGTATGGCTCTACGGCTTGAAAACGGGATGAGCACCGCCCCCTAAAGTCGGACACGACTGGACTGAAAATGTCAAGGGGAACCTTTACCTTTATGCTAAAGTAAGTCACAAGTACCTAGGCCCATTTGACTCAATCAAACTTGTGGAGGAGGTGACTGACCAATTCTCACTCATTCAAGAAGTACACTACATACTCTAGTGCTACTTACTAAACTAAGCAATAGGATTTAAGCCAAAGGTTTATTAACACAGGAATAGAATTATCAAGATGTGGATTACTTCAATTAGCATATCCCAGCCAGGATAATAATTGTAGGCCAGGTAGACATTGCTGTTACAGGAATGCAAGGAAATGCATCTCCTAGAAGTAATTACAAAGGGAGATTCATAGGGAGGCAGCAGAAATTGGCTATATAGACAAGTTCCAATGCTTCTCTAAGGATCTCAAGAAAGATCAAGCCTTTTTTAGCCACAATAACCTGTCTGATTCAACAAAGGTAGTTACAAAAATAGTGAAAGACCTGGAATCCTAAAGAAACTGCTGAGTTGAAGGGAAGAGGAACACAGCTATGGCCTGGGCCCAAATAACCACCTCAGAACCACTGAGTTTGATTAAATAACAGAACATAACTGGATTATTCTTTGGATAAACAGCATTCACCTGCATTTAAACTTTCTGTGCTAAAGTGAAGACTTTTTTTTGCTATGACCAATTAATAAAAATAACTCTGGAGTTTACTGGAGACAAACACGCTTTGCAAAGATATTTGGAAAACATTTAAATAGTTACCAGTCATTCCTAAGGATGCACAACTCTGTATCCAAATCTTCAGGCAGAGAAGCAGCTGTGATTGTCAGGTGTTTTTCAATACCATTTTCCTGGACTTGTAAAACACAGTACCGGTTGTTCAAACCCTTGCTGAGCACGGTGTCGGGGAAGCCATTGGTTCTCTTGGGAAACCTACAATTATAGTTACATGTACAATGCACACAACAATGGAGACATTTACATTCAACAACAGAAGGGCTCCAATGACAGCCCATGAATCTCACCATCCATTTCTCTCTCAACCTTTCTCCATTTTTCTGTATGTTTTTCATTTATGATTTGCCATTCCCCCAGGAGCTTAAGGCCTCCTCTAATTTTTAGGCTGCCAAGTAGAATATCCCAAAACGTGGCAACTGGCCAAAGGTCGGAAGGGAAGCATATGCTGGCTTTCCTTACAGGATAAAATCGCATCAGCCACACATATGCAGCAAGTCTCCTGTCTCATTTGTCTTCTGTATCACAATTGTGGCAGGTTCACTTCTTTTCTGAGGGAGCGTATGTCTGGGCGAGAGAAACGTACTGGCGTATTTTCCTGTGCATGTTCATACATGTGTTCAAGTCTCCTACGACTGTGTGCTCTTTACTACAAGAGAAATAATAAATGGAAATGTGAATTTGATTCTTCTGCCATGAACGAGGTATTAAGTCTTCTGATTGTGGGAAAACTTGGATTACTACCCATGAAATATGTACTGGTGTTCTTGCACTATTGTTGCACGTTAGTTTTCTCTGAAACGTGCCTAGGTGTTTACCTGCACAAGTAATGTTGGGAGAATCACTTTAGGCTGTTCACCCCTAGAGTGTGAGTCTCAAATTTTTTTTTTCTTCCCGCCCATTCCCACTCCCCCATCATTTCTGCCTCCTCGCGTCCCGGGTTTCAGGGACGGAAATCGCCAAATTCAGACATCAATTTGCACGGCAGGAAGAGGGGGGGACCGTGGCTATTAAGAAATTAACTAACCACATGTCAGAGCTGTAGAGTTGCTTTTCCGTCCACCCGCCCCATTCGGGAGGGCAATGGGGGTGTGTGGAAAGCCCGCTATCTCAAAAAAGCCCAAACTGGAAATCATGATCTTAAAAAAAAAATGCTGTCCCAGCACAATTCTTAAAAGCCGAGAGATCCTCTCTCAAGGGCAGGTAACAAGCCCACATTCAGACGGAGCCGGAAGGCAAGAGGGAGGGGAAAAAGCCTCCTTGCTCGTATCACGAAACCGCGCGCTTTTCTCGCTCAGCCCCAAGGCAAAGCACCTCGTCGGCGGAGAGGCATCCTCGAGGAAGCTCCTCTCCATCAGCTCCTCCAACATCGCTTCTTCATCCAGCCCTTCGCTCTTCTCCTGCCCCGCCGCCATGCCGGAGGCGCCAAAGCCGAAGACCTACAGCTCCCAACGTCCGTCGACCACCGTCGATCCGATCCCCGGAGTCGAGAGCAAAAAATCGGGCGGGCGCAGCAACCGCTCCGGCCTATCAGGCGTCGGGGGGTGGAGCCTCCTTTCTGGCTCCTTTTCGCTCGTTCCCGCTCCCTTTCCCTCGGCCCGCCCATTTGCCGCCAGCCAAGCTGAGGGTGCAAGTTGTTGCGACCTCTAGGGGAGGGTTTTTGAGGGAAAAGTAGTCGCTTTCCTTTGAAGGCAACTTTGCCTTCTGTTGCTGTCTTTGCAGTAGAATACCCACATGTCCTCTTACAACCAGACAACCCCCCCATTTTCAAATTTTACTGTGTTTGAAAACGTAGCAAGTTGAACCGTAAGAAGGGAAATAAACCAGGAGCCTATCATGTACAGTACCATTGTTGTAAATTCTAAAATGTTTAGAATTCTAACATTCTTTTTTAAAGAATGGTCGTATGGACCAGATGGGTGGGATATAAATCAAATAAATAAAATAATAAATAAGTAAAAATCTGTAATGTTGCATCTGCACGTATACATGACAGTATGCCATTTTACAGATCACGTTTTGGTGATGTGTAAGTGGCCACCCCACAGTTGATATTATTTCAATTAAAAACCTTCTGGAACAGGAAGGTTTGGACCTGGCACCAAAATGTCTTCAGCATCGCGCCAGATGAATCTCAGTTGGGATGGCGTTCCATAGTCTGGGGGCAGCTGCCAAAAAGGCCCTTTGTTTATAAGCCATTCCTCTTACCTCCCTGAGGAATGGCTCTTTCAAAAGGGCCCCCGGCTAGATACGTAGGCTCGTATGGAAGGAGGCAGTCCTTCAGGTATCCAGGGCCCAAGCCGTTTAGGGCTTTATATTTCAAAACAAGCACTTTATATTGCACATGGGCAGCAACTGGTAGCCAATATAATTTAAACAGAATTGACTTGATGTGTCACCTAGTGGCCCCACTACTCACCAGCCGCGCAGCTCATTCTGGACCAGTTGCAGTTGTTGGACCGTCTTCAAAGGCAGCCCCACATAGAGCGCATTGCAGTAATCTATATGAGATGTCACCAATGCGTGTGTAACTGTCATGAGACTCCGCTTGTCCAGGTAGGGCCGTAGCTGGTATAATTTTTGAAGCTGAAGGAAGGCACCCCTGGCCACCAAGTCCACCTGGGCTTCCAGAGTTAGACTGGGGTCCAGGAGCACCCCCAGGCTGCAGACAATGTCCCTTAGGGGGAGTGTAACCCCATTCAGGGCAGGGAAATGGCCCTCCAGCCTGTCTGGTGAAGCACCTATTAATAACACTTCTGTCTTGTGTGGATTGAGTTTCAATTTATTAACCCTCATCCAGTCCATTATCAGGTCCAGATGACATGAGTTCAGCACAGAAACCGCTTCACCTTGATTGATGGAAAACAAGAGGTAGAGCTGAGTATCATAAGCATATTGCTGACTCCTCAGCCCAAACTTCCTGATGACCTCTCCCAGCGGTTCCATGTAGATGTAAAACAGCATGGGGGACAGTATCGAGCCCTGAGGAACTCCATGACAGGAACCCCATGGGACAGAGCAACTGTCCCCCAGCACCACCCTCTGGACACAGCCAGCCAAGGAGAGGAACCACCATAAAGCAGTGCCCCCAACTCCCAACCCAGCCAGCCTATCCAGAAGGACACCATGGTCGATGGTGTCAAAAGCCACTGAGAGGTCCAGGAGTATCAACAGGTTCACACTCCCCGTCTCTCTCCCAGCAAAGATCATCATACAGGGCGACCAAGGCAGTCTTCATACCAAAACCTGGCCTGAAACTCGGTTGAAATTGATCCAGAAAATCAGTTTAATCCAGCAGCGCCTGGAGTTGCCGAGCCACAACCCACTCCAACACTTTGTCCAAATAAGGGAGGTTCATCTCTTGTCAGTAGTTAACCACCAGCCTTGGGTCCAGGTTAGGCTTTTTTAGGAGTGGCTGAATTACCGCCTCTTTCAAGGTGGTAGGGACCACTCCCTCAAAGAGGCGTTCACTGCCTCCTGGACCCAGGTGCAAACCCCCCTGGCAGATCTTCCAATTTGGCAAGATGGGCAAGGGTTGAGCGAAGTGGTAGTAGAATGGACAGATCCAAGCACCCTGTCCACATCCTCAGGTCTCAACGACTGAAACTCATCCATTAATACTTGACTTAAGCACAGCACACTGGACACATCCTCTGGTTCTGCAGTAATGGTGGAGTCCAACCCACTGTGAATCTGAGTGATTTTTCCCCTAAAAATGAATGGCAAACTCATTACAGCGAGCTGATGAGCAGTCCGGGACCTCCACCGGATTTCCTGGTTGAAGAAGATCCTGGACCACCCAAAACAGCTCTGCTGGATAACATTCTGAGGAAGCAATACGGCTGGGAAAAATATTGCCATTTTGCCAGTTATATTGCCACGAAATAGTCCCAATAATGGGCTCTAAGTCGTGTTCGATCGGACTCCCAATGGGATTTCCTCCACCTGCACACCAATTCTTATGTACTGGCTGTAAGACTGGAGGTGAGAGTAGAATCACTCTCATTGGAGTACCGTCCCTCCCGCCCACGGCAGAGAAAGAAATCCAAACCCTGCCTGTGTCCCCTGCCAGGAAGACAGGACCGCCAGAGCCGAGCCCGGGAAGAGTAAATGAGGAGTTTCAAAAGTTAACAGTTAGAGAGACCAGGAAAGACTTGGCGGGAAGAGAATGGAAGCAGAGAGTGGAGGTGGAAGCAGGACTGGCAGATATAAAAGGAGAGGAAGGGGAATTACTGCCAGGTTGGGAGTGGATCTGGGTGCAGGATCCATGGACCGGAAAATGAGACTCCGAATACTGAAAGAAGCAGATTATAGGAGGAGAAAGGAGGTGACCCCAAGACCTTCTTACTGGGGTGAAACAGAGGTGAAAGAGTGGAGGAGGAAGTTGAAGGAAGAGAAAAAAAGGGTTGAGAGAGACGAGGACAGAATGGAGGCTGAGGGAATCCAAGATGAGGGAATACTGCCTGGACCATGGCAGAACTTTGAGACCTCCAGGGAACCCACCTGAGTGGAACCCCAGGATGAAGACACTGTATTCCTATTGGAAGGAGAACCCAAACAGATATTGAACACTGCGTTATCTATGGACTGGCTGAGGGCTTGGAATTGTCAGGGGGAACCCTTTTAAAGAAGTTTGGAAACCCCTTCCTAACCAGCTGCTAGAAAAGTTGGAACGTGTTTGCTGAGACCAGTGTTCTGTTAAACACTGCAATAAATGTTATTCCTGTTACCAAACCTTGTAAAGGTAAAGTAAAGGTAAAGATTCCCCTTGACAATTTTTGTCCAGTCGTGTCCGACTCGAGGGGGCGGCGCTCATCCCGCTCTTCAAGCCATAGAGCCAGCGTTTGTCCGAAGACAATCTTTCCGTGGTCACATGGCCAGTGTGATTTAGACACGGAACACTGTTTCCCTTCCCACCGAGATGGTCCCTATTTAGCTACTCGCATTTGCATGCTTTCGAACCGCTAGGTTGGCGGGAGCTGGGACAAGCAACGGGCGCCCACTCCGTCGCGTGGATTCGATCTTACGACTGCTTGGTCTTCTGATCCTGCAGCACAGGCTTCTGCGGTTTAGCCCACAGCGCCACCACGTCCCTTAATACCAAACCTTGTATGTCTGCTAATTTATTTGGAAAAACACAAGAGCCAGATCCCGAACCCTCACACTGGCTCAGACTGTCTTATCTTCCTATTGGTCTCGCACCATTGATCCTGCAAGACATCTTTAAGTCAAAATGGGTTCAATTGAGCCAAAAATAGCCTCTGTTAACCATGGGAATGGAACGGGCAAAGAAAATCATTAAGCAGTGTATTGAGGACATCGAGACACGAAATGATTTAAGCAGTGCCCCAGAATTCTACCTTAGAGAAGACAGCTTATATAAGGTTATACAAGCACCTTATTTTGCCCAGTTGGAGCAGCCCAGACATAGAAGGGCATTTACTCTGGCCTGGCTTAATGCACCTTCAGCAGTGCAGGAGGGATGGTATAAAAAGATCTTCTGGGCAGAGCGCCTTTGCCCATGTGGAATGGAGCAGATAGAAACAACTGAACATGTCCTGTTGTGGTGTACATATTACAAGGATGTACATGAAGAACTTGTTTCCCCTTTGATTGGCCGATTTCCCAGGTGTACAGAGCAACAATGTATGCATGTGCTGCTGTCGGACTCCAATCCCACGCTTACACATAGTGTTGCCAAATTTCTTACTGCTGCAATGGGCATTAGAAAAAGAACCCTAAAAGTGGATGAGCCTCTGTAGTTAGAGTATGGTTTGCTAGACATTTTGGAATTGCATTAGGGGAAATGTTTTGATGCTGTCGTTGTTCACCTCAGAACTGATTATTGCTTTGCATTCGATCCATTTTTGTATACTTCTGTATATTTATATACTTTGATGTTTGTTTGTTTTTTGGCTGGTCTTTTGACCGTATCAGTTGAACATCAGGAAAAAAGTCCTGACTGTTAGAGCACTATGGTAATGGAACCAGTTACCTTGGGAGGTGGTGATTGCTCCAGTGCTGGAGACATTCAAGAGAAAATTAGACAACCATCTGTCAGATCTACTTTGATTCCTGCATTGAGCAGTGGGTTGGATTCCTTACAGGCCCTTTCTAACTTCATGATTCTTTTCAGTACGTGTGCCAGTAGCACAAAGCATGAACTTCCTAAATCATCAACTTGATTTCTAGAAAAATAACTTTTAAGATCATGTAAAGGAAGCCATAATGTTTTACTCCAGAAGTTGTGAGCAGGTCTATTAATGATAGGATGTTCTGCAGGACATTAATTCATAGAATTCAAGAATTTAACTAATTCAAGAATTTAACTGCAGTCACTTTAGTATCATATCATCAAACACCTAAGCCTGCATAAAAGGAAAATATACACATTTCAAACACATATATGTTGGCTGACATGCTTAGTCATACTGGCATTCAAGACACTTTATTTTCAAATAAAATAAGAACAAATCTGTCAATAGTGACAACAAATTATAAAGATACAGCTTTAATAAAAATGAGGCAAGCACAGAACTTTGAGATTACATATTCTGGCTGTGAACCATAAGCAACAGCTATCTTACAACTGCTAGTTCTGGTAACATAGCTGTAACCATGATGCATTCTGTACAGTGTATTTACAATCAATAAATAAATTACATTGCTTTACTTCAACATTATGAGACATGCTACCATCATTTTCAAAATCAGGCTTGGTAAAATTAAAAAAATTTAACAGAGTAGAGTTTATGAATGTAACAAACCCTTTAAAATACTTAATACACAGCTTGCTATTTACAACAGGAAAATGAATGTAGAGGGGTATTTGGCCATTATGACTGAGTGAAGAGACCGCTCTAGGCCTGCCAATGCTAACACATCCATAACCACCTAAAGTGCCCTTAGGCATCAGTCCAGCAACATCAGTTGCCTATGTTGCCAAAAGCAAGCAGGAAGTCATATACCACACCTGTGTTTGATAGTAAGGTTATCCACATGCACTAGACCGAAACTTAACTGAAGAGCAGAAGCTAACATTCTTGGGATGCAATTTTTTTCTGGGTCAAAACACATCAAAGAATTAATGAAATGAAATTCAAACTACCAGAAAAATTACAACAAAAGTCACTCCCAAATCCCTCAGTTTAATAGAATACACTATGTTGTATATTTTGCATGTGCAAAGACAGCTACTGAAAGGAATTAAGGCTTGAAACCTGTGCTTAACAGCAATCCCTAACTGACAACTGCACCACGGTACTGGTCTTTTGATATTATCTTTTTAAGAAAAACAAGCTTTCTTCATCTTCTTGGAGAATGTGCTCCTTGGTCAATATACCATAAATGCACATCATCTTATCAAAATAAAACCCATATGAATACACAATCCAATTCACACATATATATAAATCTATGTATATGCACACATAATGAAACACTGTAAGCTACAGTGTAACCTTAGTTTTCAGTAGTATCATAAATCCACAGAATATGAAAATTTCAGTGTCTTCTAAAACCAGACCCTGTTATTTTTGTTTGTTCTTGCTCCCCATTATTTTAGAAATGTAACTGAATCTTATCAACAAGTCCAATGTACATTCACAGTAAGTTAAGGATATTTTACATAATTAATTTCCTCCTGTATTAATCCTAGAATCAGTCCCTTAGTATATATGGGAAGTAATGAAATAAAGTGAATACATTTGTTGAAATTGCAGTCTATACACAGTGGGATGTGCATCTTAATCAGCATGTACAGAATTGCACTGCTAGAAACAAAAGGTCCATTGCCCAAGGAATACAAAATTAATTCCATACATCCAGTGAGGCTTTAGATTTAACTTGAAAAGCAACTACCTGCTTCATCACAAAGGTGTTTTTTTCATATTTGGGGACAAAGGAGAAATAAGTCAGCATCTCTCTGTTACTTATTTTAATGTTAATTCCATCTAACTACAATGAAATGCAGAGACCTATACTTTTCTTTTCCTTCCCCATTTTGCACAGAAAACAGTAATTAGGCAAGTGGGTTGGGTTGTATGAACAGGAGGAACACACTGTTCTAGCACATCCCTTTTCTCCACAATGCTGCTACAAAGCCTAGTAGGGTTTTCCATATGACATCTACTCCGATCCTTAGGCGGGTTCAAAAGCGAGAGAGCATAAAGAGTCAAGTATTCAAAGAAAACTATTTTACTGGGCTTGCACCATCTTGGATGCTGCTCAAGAATTCTGTATCAAAAAGAGATTGCTGCACATTTTTGGTATTTCTCATTATTAGAAAAACATAAAAGAGAAATTATACACTAACTATGAACAGAAATATCAGAAAGTGTATTTATCCAGTGCACTGCAGAATGCCATATCAATCCTAACCTAATTTCTATAGAAGCAAGGCAAAATGAATTCAACTAAAAATGTCCCTGTGAATCCGTAACTGAACCACTGCATTTTACTTAAGGTATATAAGCAAGGTTTTAGAAAAGAAAATTCCCAATAAAAAAAATCCAGCAAACATTTAAAATAGGATACAAAAGTGTAATAAGTTAGGAAGCACTATAAAAATTGTTTTCCATCTTTTAACAATTTACTCAGTTTGTATTTCTATCAATGATTTACCTGTATTATACATAAGAATTTACCCAACCTCACTGAACATCCTCCAAGTGACATATACCATGCTTTTTTTAATTTAAAAAATTGTAAATCCTCTTGATTCCTTAGTGACAATATGAAATTTAGATTTACCTCTGAATACAACATGAAAACAAGTTATTTCCCAGCTACATTTCAAAAGTCCTAATTGAGGTGCAAAAACTGTTTCATAAATTCATAAGTGGTGAAGGCAACAGCCTGTGAAGGAACACATCGAATGTAATTCAGAGATAATCCACGATATAATCCTCTTCGTATTCCATGGTTTCCATAAACATATTTCAGAGTCTGTACCATTGTACTAGAAAAAGAACAGAGTTTAAGTCTTGATATGCACAAAATAAAAAGCTTCCCCAAATACTTGATATAAAGAACTTGGGTGGGGGGGGGAGTGTGAGGTTGTAGAGAACAGTACTGTATCTGATTTTCTTATAAACCTATCACCACAGAAGGCAGAAGGTTATTTCAGAAAGAACCCAAAAGACAATATTCAGTTACTACATCCATATGCAGCTATTCCACTGCAGCAATGAAAAACACACACAATGGTAATCACAGAAGACAATGTTGTCTTCACCCTTCATAATATTAAATAAATGGGGCAGGGCAACTGGTATTCATAACATAATCACTTATTAAAAATGTGAGACATGACAGTTCCCCTTGTACTCTACAGCTAATAATCATAGTACTGTATTTTTCTGTGTATAAGACGATACTTTTATCTAAAACTTTTAGACTAAAAATTGAGGGTCATCTTATACATGGATGGAGGGAAAGGGATCTTTGATCCTGCAGCCCTTTCATTGTTGCTTTATCCCTGCACTTCAGTGGCAGGGACAGCAGCCATGAGAGAGCTGCAGGATCAAAGGGCTGCAATCTCGCAACCGTTTCATCGTTGCATTACCCCCTCCACTTCTTAAGCCCCACAGGGCTCATTAAGTGGCGGGGAAAGCAGCCATGAAAGGGCTGCAGGATCAAAGGGCTGCAATCCTGCAGCCCTTTCATCGCTGCTTTCCCCCTCAACTTCCGCAGCCCTTTGATCCTGCTTTTGCGGGGCTTAGGATGGGAAAAGCAGCAATCACATTTTCTTATTTGGGGTTGGAAATGTGGGGGTTGTCTTATACATCGGGTCATCTTATACATGAAAAAATACAGGTATTTTTAAAAACACGATGCCTTGTGGCTAATACTAACTGACTGATGGAATTCAGAAACCCATTAGCCTAGATGTGCAGAATCTACCACAACTGCATGTGTGCAGCTCTCAAAATGCTCTCTTGAATAACTGTGAAGCATTTAACACCACTGCTTCCTTGCTGCTAATTGTACTGCAGTTAACAGGATGGAAGCAGCAATGCTGATGAAGATGGGGGCAGAAAGCTGAAGCCTCTTTCTTCACACCTCCATAACCCTAAGGTAACTTTCATAGGATTACTGGGATAAGGAGATAGGTTTAAACCTCCTCCTCAAGGTGCATGTAAAGCCATTGGACAAGATCAGATGAAGCCCCTGGGTCAAGACACATATACAGAATCTGTCTCAACATGGAGTGACAATAAATAAGGGAAAGAAGAGGATGCATTATCTGTAGATTGTGGACTGAGGCATTCTCTACACACTTCAGCCTTGCAATTAATATCTACATGTTGGAAGTAAAGAACAAGAGAACAATGTCAATATATTACAGTTTGGAATTTAGATGAAGGCATTAAACTTACAGGCACTTTTCAGAATCTGGAAGGATTGCTCCCAACTGCATTCGTCTGCGTGTTACATCAAGAGGATATCTGGAAAAAGGGTGGAGTTGAATTTGTTGTAAATATAGCACTGCATATTTGTACAATGAAGAAGGGATTAAGACAAATTCAGATAACGAAAGTATGGGAGAGATGAGGCTGCCTTTTACTGCATCAGATCAATAGTTCACTTACCCTACTATTATCTATTTTGGGATGGAAAAGAACTCCATGGTCTCATACAGAAGCCTTTTTTACTCTTAGTAGACAAATTCCTTTTCAAAACAATTAAGAAACAGGAATGCTTGAATTCAGCCTCCAAATTTCTGCTTGTAAAAGACAAGTTCTGCTACAAGATATAAGCCTTATCATTTTAGTTTTCTCTTAGAATGAAGAGAATTAAGAACAGGTTGAACTAATATTTTGAAGGTTTGTTAGAAGAAAAATTAATCATATCTGACCGAGTTGGAATAAAATGGCTTTACATACATTTGATTTTTCTCATGATAGTCATGATAACATGTTGTTCGTTGCAATATGTTTCTTTGGCAAATAACACTACACATCTTTTCCAAGAAGTAATTCACAAAGACTACAAAAAATTACTCTCAATCAAATGGGCACAGGAGTGTAGCATTAATACGACTTAATTAATTATGTCAACTATTGAATTCTGAGTATATTATTGAGAGATGATATGTTTTAAAATCTAGCTTTTCTATGTTTTATTTTATTTATATGTGACTTCTTACATAGGATTCCCGATGGCCATCTGGGCCAGCAATCAGGTCCATACCTACCTAGTTTTAGCAATGTGATCGCATCAAGTATTCTATGACCACTTACTGGCCCTCCTTGGTGTTTCATTTTACAAACACAGCTCAGTTCATCCTCTGCCACATTAAAACTATGTTATATACCACTACAAGCCTTATTTAGACTGACAGAGAAATCAACTGATGGATGGAATCTGGATGCTTGGTGAACTTTACTTGTGCAAATGAATACGTTCATGATTTCAACTGATTTCAAATAAATGACTTTAGAGAAATGAGTAAAATATATGCAAGAGCCATAAAATTTAAAAAATGCTCCAAAGAATAGAATATATTGTCAACATAATGTATATGTATAGTATATCACAGAAGTGAGTACACCCGCTCACATTTCATAAATATTTTAGTATATCTTTTCATGTGACAACACTGAAGAAATGACACTTAGCTAAAATGTAAAGCAGTGAGTATACAGCTTGTACATCACAGTGTAAATTTGCTATCCCCTCAAAATAATACAACATACAGCCATTAATGTCTAAACCGCTGGCAACAAAAGTGAGTACAACCCTGACAATGTCCAAATTGGGCCCAAGTAGCCCTTTTTCCTCCCTGGTGCCATGAGACCTGTTAGTGTCACAAGTCTCGGGTGTGAAGGGGGAGCAGGTGTTATCGCTCTCACTCTCTCAGACTGGTCTCTGGAAGTTCCACATGGCACCTCATAATAATGAACTATCTGCGGATTTGCAAAAATGAATTGTTGCTTGTAGCGTTCTCTATTTATTTAGTCTATGTTTCATGTTTGTTATGTAATGGAATAGTTCATGCATATTAATGTTGCTGAGAGGCAGAACTGAGACAGTGCGTAGAGAGAAAGAGAGAGTGTGTAGTTTGGGAAATTTAGGTGTGATTAGCTACTGAAGATATTTATGAATCTCTGTAATCAATAAACCAAAGTTTTATTTAAAAGAACTTGAAGTGTGGACCTGAATCTTTCTGAAGTAATGGTGATTTAGAGATCACCTGGTGGCAGCAAGTGTAAAAGAAGAGCGTGTTTGCCTTTGTGTGCTCTGAGGCTTGAAGGTCAAGCAAAGGGGCACAAGGGTGGACGTCACATTGCTCTATATAAGGATGGCCTAGGCTATAAGAAGATTGTCAAAACCCTGAAACTAAGCCGCCTAGAGTGGTCTTAAGTAACTAGATAGGCGGGATATAAATAAAAAAAAAAAAAAAGCTGCAGCACCGTGGCCAAGACCATATAGTGGTTTAAAAGGACAGGTTCCACTCAGAACAGGCCTCACCATTGATGACCAAAGAAGTTGAGTGTCTGTGCTCAGCATCATATCAAGAGGTTGGCCTCACCATTGATGACCAAAGAAGTTGAGTATCTGTGCTCAGCATCATATCAAGAGGTTGTCTTCGGAAATAGACATATGAGTGCTGCCAGCATTGCTGCAGAGGTTGAACGGGTGGGGGGTCGGCCTGTCCATGCTCAGACCATACGCCGCACACTGCATCAAATTGGTCTCCAGGGCTGTCATCCCAGAAGGAAGCCTCTTCTAAAGATGAACAAGAAATTGAGCATACTGTTTGCTGCAGATAAGCAGACTAAGTCATGGATTTCTGGAACCATGTCCTGTGGTCTGGTGAGACCAAGATAAACTTATTTGGTTCAGATGGTGTCAAGTGTGTGTAGCAGCAACTAGGTGAGGAGTTCAAAGACAAGTGTGCCATGCCTACAGTCAAACATGGTGGTGGGAATGCCATGGTCTGGGGCTGCATAAGTGCTGTCAGCACTGGGGAGCTCCAATTCATTGAGGGAACCATGGATGGCAACATGTACTGTGGCATACTGAAGCAGAGCATGATCCCCTCCCTTCAGAGACTGGGCCGCAGGGCAGTATTCCAACATAACGACCCCAAAACGACCACTGCCTTGCTAAAGAAGCTGAGGGTAAAGGTGATGGACTGGCCAGGCAGGTTTCCAGACCTAAACCCTATTGAGCATCTGTGGGGCATCCTGAAACGGAAGGTAGAGGTGCGCAAGGTCTCTAACATCCACCAGCTCATGGAAGAGTGGAAGAGGACTCCAGTGGCACCCTGTGAAGCTCTGGTGAATTCTATGCCCAAGAGGGTTAAGGCAGTGCTGGAAAATAATAGGGGCCACACAAAATATTGACACTTTGTGCCCAATTTGGACACTTGAGACTTATGATATTAACAGGCCTCATTACACCATGGAGGGAAAACGTCTACTTGGGCCCAATTTGGACATTGTCAGGGGTGTACTCACTTTTGTTGCCAGCGGTTTAGACATTAATGGTTATGTGTTGTGTTATTTTGAGGGGACAGCACATTTACACTGTTATACATGCTGTATACTCATTTATTCAGTGTTGTCATACGAAAAGATATACTAAAATATTTATGAAATGTGATCGGGTGTAATCACCTCTGTGATATACTGCAAATGTATATCTGGACTCTTCCATACAGATATTAAAATCTTCCCTCCTCCTCCATCTTGGTGATACATTGCTTGTTCTTACACTGAGCAATGGGGTTCCTTCCGAGATCACAAGAGTGTGAACCAGACCAAGATTAAATTAAACTTAATGATTTGGAAGATGAGGTACTAGAACTAAAACAAGTTCCTAATGCAAACTGTCCTAACAATTCTTCAGTAAGTGCAGTAAAATACTAGAATAACTTACGATATTGTCTGTGCTATTGCTCCAGCTATGCCACCACACAGCAAATTTACATGAGCTTTCAAAACTAAGACATCAGGATTATCTAAGGAAGGCCTCCCGAGCAGGGTAGGCGCATGGGCAAGTCCCACACTCTTTAAGGTACCAAAGGTAAAAAATGAGAAACCTGAAAGGAAAAAAATTAAATTTAACAGAAACATTACCTCAACATTACCTAAACAGACGCTATAAAGTACTCCAGGTACACAGATGTTATAGGCACAATCCAGCCTTACAGTAAGCATAACTGAAACCCACTTACAATAGAACTGCACATGTGCTATGCTACTTCCCATTGGGGAAAATATATTATACATAAAGGCTATTAAATCAATGTTAATTCTACCTGGAATCAACTTGGTGAAATCAGAGTACTTAAGCTAGCTTTAGTTAATAAATTCGCTTCATTTTAATGGGCCCATTAGTTATTTTATTTTTGCACAAGAGATTATGCAAGGGATTCAGCAACCAATTGTGCAAATGATTTAAATAATTATTTGCACAATGGCATAATCTGGTACGCATGTGCCTTTTTGTATTTTTACTCCAAAACTCAGGATTCTACATTCTAAAACATCAACCTGCTAGACCTGCACCTAAATTATGCTCACTTAGAGGAAGGCAGGACTGGAAGGAACTCCCAGCAAGCACTGAGGCAACCTTCTTTTTGACCAGGATACAGTACTAAGCTCAAGCTTGGCCAATTCTAGGCTATGAAGTCTCCCAGCCAATACCTTCTCCAGGGAAACACAATTTAGGTGTCGATCTACCAAGTGGAACTCACAGAATGGAGAATCCTGGGTTCTGAAGTTTAAAAAAAAGTATGAATGGTGTGTACCTATAATCCAGTACAAGTGCATTAGCAATTATTTTTACTCCAGTAGTATAATGTAGACTTTAGGACATTGAGACTTTAATACAAAACTAAAAATGATTTCACTATCTTATTTTTACTTTATTGCTCATATCTAACATTCTGTGGTACAAAACAGTCACATATGCGCACTTTCTGTGGCCAACCAGTAATTCCTAAACTGTTTAAACTGCAGGAAGAACTCTTTCGTGTTATTTTTAAATTTATTTTAAATAGTATTAAATTACATAGTGTATTTGTTTTAATCTGATAATTTATTTCACACTGGCCAAATTCCTGTTGTTTAGTACAATAAATCACACTTGTGTAGGTCCACTGAATTAATAGGGATTTGATGAGTCAACTCCTTCATAAGCTCTATTGAATCAAAGGGGCTTGCTCTAACTGTGACTTTGTGTGTTAAACCTGATTAGCGTAGGCCCAATTGAATCAAGGGAATTTATGAAGAAGTTACCAAATTCAATGGGCGTACTCCAATCTGATTCACTACATTGTTGACTGTTTCAATATTGTAAGTTGCTTTGGGTCCCATAAGAGAGAAAGGCAGAAAGCAACCATCAAGCAAACAAACAGATGTATCCTATATTGGCAGAGACTGAGCATCTATCTTCGTCACTACTGTATTGTTTTCAAAATGGTTGCTGTGTGGATTGAAGAATATCCTTTTCTGGGCAATTCAGTTGAAAGGGTTCCCATTCTTGTTAAGCCATCAGAAAGTAATCACAAAGGACTAGATTATAGCAAACCAACAAAAATGCTTGACAGCACGTACCCAAACAAAACAAGAAAATAAGCCAGGTTTCTATTTGTTATGAAAAACACGAGTCTGGCAAGTTATACAAAAGCATTAGCAATTGCATGTTATATAAAAACATAATAAGCAGGCTGGTTACATATTCAACAATTGTGGTATCTGAAGAGAAGAAGTATTTTCTAAAGATTAATGATGACACGGCAGTTGATATTTTATCTTATAGTGAGCGGTAGACTACTATGGTCACGTGGATTTCAGAACAGTGTGAATACCATAAAAATGAAGCACATAGGAACTCATGGATAAATGTGTAGTTATAGTCATTTGACCATGAAGAACGGCTATTATCTTTACAGCCTTTGATACAAGTGTTGACCTCTTTTTTCCTGATTAATAAATGAGATTAATACTTCTTGACAATTTAGTCTATTTACAGAAAACTGTTGTTTCTTGATACATAATGCATTTATCAGCTCTCAAAAAGATAGAGGGTAATTAGAAGTCCAAAGAAAATTGGACTACCTTGGTGCATGCGCTCATAATCTCAAGATTAGATCACTGTAACGCACTCTACGTGGGGCTGCCTTTGAGGCTGACACGGAAACTTCAGGTGGTGCAGAATGCGGCAGCCAGGCTCCTTACAGGAGTGAGAAAATATCAACACATCTCTCCAACGCTGGCCGCATTGCATTGGCTGCCCATCTGTTTCCGTGTCAACTTCAAAGTTTTAATGCTTACTTATAAGGCCCTAAACGGTTTAGGACCTCGATATTTGGCGGAACGCCTCCTCCCACCAAGGTCTACCCGGATCACCCGCGCGAGTCAGGAGGTGAGGCTGAGGAGCCTGATGCTGAGAGAGGCCCGGAAGGAGAAGACACGAAACCGGGCCTTCTCGGCGGTGGCTCCTCGCTTCTGGAACAATCTCCCTCCGGCGATTTGCGCGGCCCCCACGCTGGGCACCTTTAAAAAGGAAGAAGGTGAAGGAGGGTTTATTCAGGCCTTCCCTCCAGCCAACTCTTGATTTTTTCTTACTTTTCCTTTTTATCTTTACTGCTGTTCTTGTTTGATTATTATGTATTTGTCTATGTTTTATTATTTGATTTTATATTTGGAAGCCGCCTAGAGTGGTCCGGTGGGCCAGATAGGCGGGGTATAAATTAAATAAATAAATAAATAAACAAAATAAAATTATAAAATGAGTTAACTACCAGATTCTTGTTCATTTCTTCCGTATAATGTCTATTTCACTGTATTTTATCTCTTACTGCAAAATTGTCCAATTTTATATCTCCTGAAATGTATATTTTACTTCAATATAATGTATTGTATGTAATGATGATCTGATCTATCATCGAACATATGCTGACTTACGTACTTCCATGCCTGTTCAGTTTTGCATTAATTTTCATGTTTTTCATATGAACAGAGGGCTAGTTTACTTTGTTTTCTGTTGAGGTTACTTTGTTCATCTATGATAGCACAGTAGCCCTTCTGGCTTCGGCTGCAGAATACAGCTGCAGTAAGGAATATGGTAAGAACTCTAGGTAAAATTTGCAACTACAGCAGAAGAAACAGAACAGCCAAATCAACAGTAAACTAAGAATGTTCCCTCCCCAAAATTAATTATGCTTGGGGTCTAAAAAGCATTATAATACCTCCCCTTGAGCACTGTATTATTATTATTATTATTATTATTATTATTATTATTATTAGTAGTAGTAGTAGTAGTAGTAGTAGTAGTAGTAGTAGTAGTAGCAGCAGCAGTAGTAGTAGTAGTAGTTTATTATTATTAGTTTTATTTAATAAAACTGCCCATAATAGTAGTACCCATTATTCAAGATATACTGATTAGTAGGAAAGTCTAAAAGAGGTGAAATTGTATACAGTATTTCTTGTTCAAATGAAAGAAATCAAATTGTAACCCCCAAATGTTTAAGATATGTCTAGGCAGAGCATTTTAACAGAGAACTGGAGTTTCACTTTGTAACAGACAAGGATTCCAGCACAGTACAAGCCTGCAGTCTTCTTTCATAAAGAAGCCCGCACAAATTCTGTTGAGACTGAAATGTTTTTGTTAATTTTTTTAACACAATCCTGGAATTTTAAGGGGGAAAGCTAAGTTCCTTCTAGAAAGGAAAATGATCAGTATTATGTTATGGTTCCCAGTCTATCCAGAGCAGTACCAGATCCCTTTACAGTACAAGCTTACCTTGCCTACAAGAAATAAATAGGAGCGAACTGAAGAAAATATTCAAAAAGAAGCAATAGGAACCAAACACCTTCTGAAAAGTGTTGTATAGTTAGATTGATATGAAAAGGATCTCTATAAATACTAGGGGAATAGATCAATTGTGAAGAATGCTGTTCAGAACGTGAATAAACAATCTGTTTTGCTATATATTTTTTCAATTAATGTTTCCATTTCATTTTGTACTTTAGGTGACAGTTCCCAATACAGTGATGCCTCGCTTAGCGATGTTAATCGGTGCAGCAAAAATCACCGCTAACTGAAAACACTGCTAAGCGATTTTTTAAAGCCCATAGGAATGCATTGAAACCCCTTCAATGTGTTCCTATGGGCAAAAAACTTACGAAAATCCTCCATACGGCGGCCATTTTCGCTGCCCGGTATGCGAGGAATCCGTCCAAAAACACAGCGGGCAGCCATGTTTTTTACCCGGTGGCCATTTTGGAACTGCTGATCAGCTGTTGGGAAAACATCACTATGCGAAAATTGGTAAGCGAAACAGCTTACCGATCATCGCAAAGCGATTTTTTCCCATTTAAAACATCGCAATGTGATCACTTTTGCGATTGCAAAAAACCAAATCGCTATGCGATTTCGTTGTTAACCGGGGCACTTGTTAAGCGAGGCACCACTGTAGATATCTGCAGCCTACTTTATCGGCTCTCTACCATACTGTATGCTTGCTTGTGTAGATCGTTCAAAAGACAGCCATAGTTGAAACAGAGCATTTTGTAGATGGTTCCTAACAATCTGTCTGTTTTGAGAGACATGTCTTACAAATTCCTCTAGAAAGAAGGGTGAGAAAGACAATAGAAGTATCATCACTAATTTCTCATCAGCCACTGTAAGACATTTCCAGCCACTCTCCTTCTGTGGCACATCTGTGCAAATCCTAGAGTAGTGAACGTATGTCGTTTTCCAACTTAAGAAAAACCATATGAACAATTTTGCAAATCATAATTAGACATCAAGAGATTTAATAGGAAAGAGTCCATCCAATTCATGTATTACTCACCTGCATATGGAGCCATTCCTACTACTGTTGGTAAAAGACCTCGATAAAATCCTTGCATGCCACCTTCCTTTTCGAAGAAGCCAGCAATGACCAGAATTTTAAAAAAAGAATTAAATATTTAATCACTATGAATATAACATGTAAAAGTTCAGTTTCTTCATTTATACGTCATCTTATATATTTTACATGCTGGCCATTGACCTGTGAAGGGACGTGGTGGCGCTGTGGGCTAAACCGCAGAAGCCTGTGCTGCAGGGTCAGAAGATCCGGCAGTCGTAAGATCGAATCCACGCAACGGAATGAGCACCCGTCACTTGTCCCAGCTCCCGCCAACCTAGCGGTTCGAGAGCATGCAAATGCGAGTAGATAAATAGGGACCACCTCGGTGGGAAGGTAAACAGCGTTCCGCGTCTAAATCACACTGGCCATGTGACCACAGAAAGATTGTCTTCGGACAAACGCTGGCTCTATGGCTTGAAGAGCGGGATGAGCGCCGCCCCCTAGAGCCGGACACCACTGGACAAAAATTGTCAAGGGGAACCTTTATTGACCTGTGAGGTCCCTCAGAGCCCCCCATGGTATTCAACATATACATAGAAGCACTGGGAGGGTTATCTGAAGTTTTGTGATTTGGTGCCATCAGTATGCTGATAACACGCAACACTCACTCTCCTCCCCACCCCCAGGGTGCCATCTAACCCCTTTTAATGCAGCCTTTCTCATTCTTAGCTCCCGATCTCTAAAATAAGTTTTCTCCCTCACATGCTACAACAAAGGAAGTAAGACCCTTGACACATTATGTATTACACAGAATTAATTACACTAGTATGTTCTATACAGTGTATCAATCAGAGACCTTGTTTCTAAGAAAGAGCACTAAATATTTAGGATTCCAAAGATTATACAAGAGTGTTGCTTGCCTTAAGCAGAACAATGCAATGCCGTGGCTCTTAATAATAATCATCTTAGAACTGCAAAGCTGGAAGGGACCCTATGGATCACTGAGTCCAGTCCATGTAATGGACGAACAGAGCTAAATCAAACTCCCAATCTCTGGCTCCAGAGCCAGATACCTAAACTACTGAACTACCCATTAATTCATATAATAATTATGTGCTACCAAGTCAATTTGACTTATGGTGACCTTTTCCATGGTCTTCTAGTTAGAAGTGGCTTACAGCTTACGATTTCCTTTGGTGACACCCTAGGACTGTGCAGCTTGCCCTTGGCCAGACCAGCTGCCTCTTCTCCCGGGGGCACACTGAAGAACTGATCTCCCAACCTCTGGCTCCACAGCTAGAAACCTAACTTAGTGAGCTAACCAACCAGTTTTTTTTAAAAAAATGTCTTAATGATCCCAAGGAACATGCTTATGTCATGTAAGCTCTGACTGTGACCTAGTTTTGTTCTTTTGGAGAGACCCTGCTTCAGTTTCCATCTTATACAGTACTTGCAGTCAAACTAGACATGCACATAGGACTGTTTCTGTTTCCCATATCAAAATGAGCAGGTAGGGAAACACAACCCCAGCTGAGGAGAAATAGCTGAAGGAATGCCAGAGTGGCAAGATAAGAAGCAGAGGATGTAAAGTTCCACTCTCTTCCTCCACATGCTCCTTCTGACATTAAAACTAGTTTCTTCCCTATCCCACTTGATGGCCAAACCAGGTAGTATATGTTCATAAAGTACACTCAGCATCATCAGCATCATTATCTTAGAATTGCAGATTTAGAAGGGACCCTATAGATCATCGAGTCCAGCCTACCAAGGAGGCACAGTGAGGAATCAAACTCCCAACCTCTGGCTTCGCATAGAATTTAGTCTGGCCTACACAAGGAGTAGGATGTTCTCAAGCACACACACCCTGCTCTGGAATTTTTCAGAAAAGTGTTTAATCCCCATGCCCCAAAAGAATTGAAGCCTGTTCATTTCAGATGCTATGTTCTGTTTGCTATTCTGAATTTGCTGTTTTGGGGCATATTTTCCAGTTTGGTTTACAATATGAACTCTCATAAATGACTGTATAATAAATATACAATGTTTTTAAAAAAGAACATGAGACTGTCACACGAGATAGCAGGTACTTCAAAACTCTTAGGATATCTCCCATGTATAAACAAGTAAAACTATTTCAGAATATTAACATACACTAGAAACACAAAATATAAAACCATGAAAAAAAATTACCTTTGCATAAATGGTTTTGAATGCATGAATAATTCCATTGTATTTGTCATCTCCTTTTACTTGGAATGCTAGACGTGCTCTCACCATGTCAAGAGGGTATGTACATATTACAGCAGTCATACCTTGCCAAGAAATGCAAATAGTCAATTTAAAATTTTGAAATTGATATTTACAATTGACAAGTTTATTTTTTCACGCATATAAATTAATTCCCCATAGTTTAGGGGACATATTTATTATGGAAGCAACACATGGGAATATTTCATGGTGTTCAGAACTTTGTGGTTCTTCATAGGATTAGATGTTCCACAAAAACTCTGATTATGAAAATAACCCGTCTTCTTGAAATTGAAGTGATTTTTTTTAATGCACACTTACTCTAATACTATTTCCTATAGACAGAAAATAATGATAAGAAACATGTTTAATCCTTTGTTTAAAATTTTAAAAGCTCAGATCACTTTGCTCCTAAAATATTTTCATATGGGAATGGGTGATAAAGGTCACTTCTATTTGAAACATTTTTCTCCTCTTCACTTCAGTCCATTGGCTTTTTTTCCTTAAAAAAACTATAAGGTAATTATTTACCAATGAAGTGTTACCACTGAGATTTTAATTATACAAGACTCAGGAAATCCAAGATTGGGTTTTTTCCACCATAGCATTTAACTGTGCCTCTCAAACAGATCCATTACAATAGACTTTTCATGGCATCTTCCTCCTAGTACTCTCATGCAGAGATTTTTCTCCCTGCTGTGAGTGAGATGACTTTAATCTTAAAAGCACTACTGAAGCCTCCCCCCCAATTCTTTTTGTGTTTTTAAATGTTCCAATTATCTTGACACATTAGTTTTATTGGAAGAAAATTAAGAAATAATAATCACCAGATCAGAACTGCAATTGTTTGTAAATGTACCTTTTAACTCAGAAATGTGAGGACTGATTGCCTCTTTGGTATATCAATTCTCCATTTACAATAGATAACATTCTACCATGACTTCACACTAAGAAAGGTGTGAATGCTGCAGCCCAAGTGGTTTACTAAAAATGCACTTTAGAACCAGTCACACTGTTGTTTCTACAGTTTAACTATAGCTCTATAGTTAAATGGCACAGAAATCTCTTAGCCTAAATGAAACAATCCTGTGGCTACTACGAAACAAAACGCATGCATTTCTTCTTAAGGATCATAGTGGTGAGATGCTTTAACAAGCATTAAATTAGAAGACATTTTAAAACAGATTCAAGGAAACTAGGTACAGCACTGGCTGTTAGCTGTGACAACCAAAAATAACAGGCCACATATTCACCTCTGATTATCACGAGTTGGAGAAAAGACAGCAGACTAGAGCAATCTGTGACTCTCCAGATGTCACTGAAGATGTGAATTATAATTCAGCAACATTTGGTTACCCACAGTCTTACTCACCATGCAATAAAGGATGGCAGCCAACAATATTCCTTTCTTGAGAGTTTCCCAGCTGTGCATATATGGCCTCTTATGAAAAGATTTTTAGTTCTGTTGGTCTCTCCCTTGTTAATACAACTAGCCGAAAAAGAGAGTGGGAGAGCTTGCAAGATTCTGCGTATCTGTTTGAAAGATAGTTACCTCTGAACATGCAAACATTTTGGATCCTATTGGTCATCATTTTATTCAATTAAGAAATTTCAATCTAAAGCTTAATTAAAGAGCTTCGTAGTGCAGTGGTTAAAGTTCTGTTCTACAGCCAAAACTGTGCTCACAGCTCGGGGTTCAATCCCAGGTAGCCGGCTCAAGGTTGACTCAGCCTTCTATCCTTTCGAGGTCAGCATAATGAGTACCCAGCTCACTGGGGGGGGGGATGTGTAGCCTGCATAATTAACTTGTAAACTGCCCAGAGAGTGCTTGAAGCGCTATGGGGCAGTATATAAGCAACACACTTTGCTTTTTAAATTAATGAAATTGGCATGGAAATAATTAACAAAGTATACAGAAGCATAAAATACCTGCCATAGAACCAGCCATTAACCGATGAACATGCCCAGAAATACCAAGCTTCTTCTTTATTATCTACAAAATTATTGTTTCCAGTGAAAAAGTAAATATTCCTTAGTACGTGGTAAGTGAACATCACTCTACAATTCAATACAAGCACAATTTCTTTTCATCATTTTTAATGTTACATTTTCACTACAAAAAAGTCTGCACAAAATGTCTATAAATGCATAGTGTCACACACAGAGAACAGTAAAATCAGAACATACACACAGATATACAACAGAACATTATAATTTATTTATTTTATTTATTTATTTATTTGATTTATATCCCGCTCATCTGGTAAATCTATACCACACTCTTCATCTCCCAGGATCAGTGCTCTTATGTTCAGAGTTCCAGCCAGCCATCAACCATATTCTCCTATAGCAGTGGTTCCCAACCTTGGGTCCCCAGATGTTCTTGAATTATATCTGCTAGAAACCCTGGCTAGCACAGCAAGTGTGAAGGCTTCTGGCCATTTTAGTTCAAGAACATCTAGGAACCCAAGGCTGGTAACCACTGTCCTATAGGATACAGTAAAACAGTAAAAAGCTCTAGCTAACATTCTATTTTTCACCCTCCACTAATCTTCCATTTTCCTTTTAAAACATGTATTGAACTACTCTGGCTACAGAGTATATGCAATCCATGTAGAGCTTTTTGGCTGGGAAAGTTTACAGTTCTATGTGCTGCAAACTCAATGGTTCTCCACCCCAAAGAATGTGAATTATCTACTTTTCTCCTGATGATTCTGTTTTGGCTACAAAGCAATTCCCTACCTCCACTGTCAGGAAAACGATTTCTAATAGAAACGAAAAACTCTCCTGAGAGTCCTCTCATGGTATCTCTGCTGATCTTCTTTGATAAAAGAATACATGTGAACCATCTAACCTCACAAGAGATCATATAAAGGGGGCATATGCAAAGCACAGACCATATAATTTTTTCAAGGTAACGAACTAGCAAATGGATCCAAAAACAAGTGGAATGTCATTTTATCTGCATTCCATTTTAATCTACCCCACAATAATCACTGCACTGTTTTGTTCTTATTTTTGCCTGGGCTTGCAAAGGTAAAATTATTAATAGCCTATGTATGGATGTCAGAAAATATTTTACTTTCAATATTTCAATGAACTTGTAGAATATTTTTATAGTAAGAGTGATATTTAGTCTTCCATAAATATTAAAACAAAATATGAACACTAGAGAACTGGTAATTACACAACATAGTTCATGTTTTATCCGTTTTAAACCAATACTGTATATGTACTGTAGTAAAAAAAAAAAAAAGAATTACCTCTTTATATTGCCCAAAAGCTGTAAACTGAATTGCACCATATGGAAAGATTCTAATCATCATTGCTCCATTTCCTTTATACAATCCTCGGTAGCCCTCCTTTTTTGGTACAGCACACAACGTAGAAATCACACCTGTCAGCACCACAAAACAGACATTTAAGAGATACAGCATTCGCCCTCTGTGAGTACTTCTTCGGATGTTTAAATCTGTAAAATCCTATTAACTTTTTTATATATCAGAGAAGAAAACCACTGGGGGAGGGAAGCTCGGCTATTAGAAATGAATGTATTCCCATGCTAAACTTGATAATTTTTCTTAGATTCCACCAAAATTTCTAGTAAGCACCACAGCTATGTAAAAAACTACTGAAGAATACAATGGTGCCCCGGCTGACGATGACCCAGCTTCACGATGAAATCGCTTAATGAGTTTTTTATGGGGTTTTTTGCTTAACAATGAATAGTTCCCTGCTTCAGGAACCGTTTTTTCGCTGGACAACGATTAGAAACAGCTGATCGGTGGTTCTCAAAATGGCTCCCCGCTATTTTCCGGACCTATTTCTGGAAGACAGCGATCGAAAATGGCTTCTCCTATGGAGGATCTTCACAAAACGAGCAGGTATTTCCCCAACTGGAACGCATTAACCAGTGTTCAATGCATTCCAATGGGTTTTTTACTTTCGCATGACGATGATTTCGCTTTATAGCGATTTTAACAGAACGGATTATCGTTGTCATGTGGGGCACCGCTGTATATATTATTCATAGGAACTTACTATATGACAACACTTAGCTGAATAAACACATACATAAACAGATCGATTTTTGTCATATGATTCATATATTATAATAAGCTAGCATTATAAGGAAACCATAGCTTATCATTTATGATAACCACTGCAATTGGTTCAGTACATTGTTAATATTCTATCAGTGCATATTTTGTATTTGCTTTCTTACTTTTCTAGTTCCATAGACAATATTTACACAATAACAGAAAAGAAATAGTTTTAAAAGATCAATTATTGTGTTAAAGACAGGTCAACATTCCAAACAATGTATAATAATAATAATAATAAAATTTATTGTCATTGTAAGTATATACACAGTATACCATTATCATACCACAGTATGCAAGCAATATCTGAAGAATCTTTAACAATATATGTAGAAAACTTGTTAAGTTTTAAATTACAATTTCAAAATGGCTGGTACCAAGTTTCTAATTGGCTGGTACATTCATATATCCTAAACCTACACGTATAGTCTTGCAGACCTAAATTAATCCATGCTGGAACTATGATTTGATACAAATAGAATTCAGTTACAGTAACTATCCCACCTCTAGAGGCAACTGGACTTGCGACAGGTAACGAAAATTGACAAGCAAATTATAGTGTTGGCTATATGTTTGGATGCCCAACCTGTTTCAGTTCTCAAGTATGGATAACACAACCCATGGTTTAGTGTAACATTTAAATTGAGCCAAAGTCTATGTTTGAAGACTGGAATGGAAACCTCAATTTCTGAATTCGATTATTTTAGTCCCATGAAAGTGAGCCACATCTACCTAGAAGTAACCTCTATCCTGACTGAGAAATACCAGCTCAGCACTGAAAAGAAAAAAATGAAAACTGAACAGGAGAGTGACAAAAGAGGAGAAAATTTGTGCACAAAGGACTAACCTTTGGCCTGAGAAAGTGAAAGAGTCAGAGAAAGGAAAGAGTCAGCAGAATCTTGTCAGGATTTTGTTCCTTGTTACAGCAGCAAATTACAGCTAATATGCAAGTGTGAAGGTGTAGGTCAGAGTGTGCCGTCCTCAGAAGAGAAAGACTCGAAGGAAGAGAGTGGTTGCACAGAAGGGATCTTAGTGGAGATAGAACACGAGGAAGAATTACAGAGGAGACCAACAGAAGTGTGTTTGGTTGATGAGGGAGGAGCTGAACTGGACTTGATCATGTGGGAGGAGGTGAAAGGGGAGGAAAGAAACGCGCGGGAGTTTAGTTGGTTGGGGGAAGGCGAGCTGGGAAGATGCATGAATAGAGGTGTGCAGACTGACTGGATAATGGGTGAGAAGGACCAGGCTGACCTGGCTCAAGGCTTCCCTAATCTACAGAAAGGTGGGGGATTGCTACCAGAGCCTTCTCTATCTAGCGGACGCGGTCGTGTATATGAGCCCTTAGAATGGAGGGTCTCGGTTTTCCCAGCGAACTACCCTGGTGGGGGCAGGAGAGTTATCCGCCCGGGCCCAGAATTCCAACAGAAGCCCCTAGAGGGGGATTGGGCCCCACATCCCTGTTGTGGGACCATATGTGCCGTACGGAGTGCCCCACTTCAACCGCTAACGGATCGCGAACGATTCGGCCCGGCTCCTTGGTAAGGGAAGAGTTAAATCCAGCCGTCATAAAAGCTAAGAGATATACTGTTTTGACTGATGAAGTGTTGAAGGATCCGTTTGATCCCGTTGAGTTGAGTGTACATTCAAATAAAGCTGTTACTTCGGAAGAAATAGACTCTCCACCGTGTCGTTTCCCCGCCTTTACTACCCAACCCCCCCTGGCTGAAGACGGACCTTGTCACAGCAAGGTTTCAATCACCTGGAATACAGATAGGTATATGAGTACTGTTAATTAACTGCTATTTGCTGCTTTGACTCACACCATTGCATTTAAACTAGACCAAAATTCCAGTAGGATTCTGGCCATTAAGAACTAACACACAAATATCAGTTAAAGAAACATGGTTGAATATTATAAGAAAAAAGAATAGCAAGGAAGAAAGCTACTTAAGAATACAGTCTGGAGAAACGCAGATGCAGAACAAGAAGATGAATCAAGAAGGACTAACAAAAATTAATAAGAACCAAATGAATCATGATAGGCTGTTTTAGGAGGAAGGGGAAAGACGGAAAGTAAAGATAGAGGAAAGAAAAAGAAAAAAACTTAGGGACCCAACAGAACCTGTATTATACACACATGTGATGAGCACATGGAGGAAGAATTAGATCAACAGTATGTTCAGGGAGTTGGGTAGCAGAAATGAAAGAAACACAAAAATTGGAAGAAAAAGCCAACAAACGAAATCAAAATTAGTAGCTAGATCAAAATGTCAATTAAAATATTACTAAAAGAATAATTAATGGGGAAGCGATAATTCAGTATCAAACTCAAATGGGGGGGGAGAGAATACTGGGATGATGAAAATCAGAGAGTTAAAAGGAAGCAGATTTAGAAATAACTAAAAGGACTTTGCTCAAACAGCCCTTGCTGATATTTACCCTGCCTCACTTACTTTATACAATCCACATTTGGTTCAGGGACACAGTGACTTAGAACAAACGTATGCTTAGCATGCCAGAATCAAATTAAAGTTAAATGTTCATTCTCCATAACTTGGAAGGATATACTGGTGGTTTTGGTACTGTCAACAGTATTTTGACTTACCAAGTTAAACTGTCATCTGGTGAAAGAAATAATACTCAATTAAATCTGCAGAACATTTTAATTAAAAACATGGCTATACAAAGACGATACTTAACGCCTTATGCTGCAATATTGGTATTAGATGCATTTCTGGGCCTGGTCTCTCTCACACAGGAGCTTATGCTTCTTAAAATTGTGATTGTCATTGATAGGTTTCTAAAATCTACTGCACAACTGAGGAAACATTTTCATCAGAGTATCTGTGAAGATTCTCAGTCATCCAGGTGGGGTTATCTGGAAGTTTAGTCATGGTAACTGGACTTCTTTCTTATTAGGTTGAAATATTTCACTACTCATCCAAGGAGCTTCTTCAGCAGTGATGTGGGTTTTCTAGAAAACGTAGGACTGAACAATTTTTCAGTGCTCTAAATTTTTTTCTGTTTTAGCATGTTTGGTTTAAATGTTATATTCAAACACATTCAATATTTAAGTGGAAATTATTTTGTTAGTATTTTTATAATACAGTGGGGTCTCGACTTAAGTAATTAATCCGTATTGGAAGGCAGTCTGCAAGTCGAAAGGTTCGTAGGTCGAATGTGCATTTCCCATAGAAATGCATTGAAAACCATTTAATCCGTATCTGCTCTTTCCGGACCATAGAAACTAATGGGAAGCTGCTATTCTGCCTTCTACCACTAGATGGGGATATACAGTATTTTTTATTTTTTCTTAGGTCAAGAAGAGTTCAGGAACGGAGTGGGGAGGCAAGGAACAGAGGGGGGGAGGCAGGGAACAGTGTTAAAAGCACTTTTGAAATTTTTAGCCCAGTCTTTGCAACCCAGCACATTTAAGCACAGACCCACAGGAAAAAAATACCCCCCAAAACTAAAACGCTGCAAGCCCCTGGGGGCTGCAAACAAAACAAAATAAACACAAACATGACCCCACCAGCCCAATCCCACCCTGCAAAAGACCCCCCAAAAGTTAAAAAAACAAACAAAA